TCATAGATACACTATATTAAGTTTTGTAATTTGTCCAATTGTAGAAATTCTAAGTTTTACACACAAATCTTGCTAAAATTGCATAATCTTCTATGGAATCTATAAGAATTAAGAGCATGAATAATAAAGATATAGTGAATGTGATATGTACAGTCATTTTGCGGGGTTATATACCAAAAGGACAATAAATGCAAATAAAATTGGAGTTCTTTCAGTTAAAATAGTTCAGACAATAAGGGGATCACGGGTCATGCATAGGTCTTCACTATTTTAATAATAATAATAAAAAAAAAAAACGTGTGCCAATCATTAACTATGCCATTATGTTTCTTTGAAAAATGAACATTGGTAACATTGCATCACTCTCATAGTTCAGTATGTTCTTTATAGGTGAAGAGATACGAGAATGAAACTCTAGCAAATAGTACTACTACCTTTTGGTAAAATTGCATCATTCTCATTAATATATATATATATATATATATATATATATATCATATTTGTAGACGGTATTCTTTTATTACCAGATCATAAATTATTCTTTTATGTGAAGTTTCACGCTAAAAGTCGTTAAAATTGAAAAGTAAGTCCTTAAATATGACATCTAATTATAGGCGATCTTCGTAAATGCTAGCGACTCAATTCTCATTTCTAGGCGTTGGGACTCATAAGGTGATAGAGCAAAAACCATTTTCCTCTTGCTAAACATCACAATGTCCAAATCTGTGTGTCCGAACTCGTAGGTAGCAGTGAGCCCCTTGTTTTCCAATTCCCTGAAGTGCCAACTTGTATTTATTTAGTGTCCAAATGTTGAAGATCCAAGCAATTTAGCATCCAACATCTTTATGTCAAGTCAACTTGCCATAGTCGCCACCGACATAATTTGGTTGTGCACCATTTGGATTGGGTTGACTTCAGGTTCAAAAATCCCAAACTTTATGTAACCGAACTCTACATAATGCCAACCCTTCCCAACTAAATTATTCCATGGTTTAATCGGATTGTGGGTAAGGCAAACTTGCAATTGTGATTCCCTTTCCAACCACTATGGCTTATATTATCACTGCGATAAACCTTCAACCTTGAAGGGAGATGGGAGAAAAAAGGGAGAGTGAGAACAGCGTGGTGCTACTAGTGGAAGATAAGTGAAATTGTGCAACTGAGAAGATAAAGCTTTGCACAGTATTCAGTATTCCTATGATCAATTCGATCACCAACAACTTCAAACTTACCCACCTCAGCTTAACCGCTAAAGACAATGTTCCTAACTCGTTTTCTGGCCCACCCAATCCCCATCCATTGTCTTCATTTCTTGTTCAATTATTTCCATTTGGAGTTAGGCCTCAAATTTGTACCTAACTCTACAAATACCATATAGTATGTTTCCTATTCCTTTAAGGCAAACATATCCTTCTTCAAAATTTGCATATTTTCTAAGCTTTTAAGGATGGGCCAAAGAGCAAATTTAACCAAAACAATTATTATACTAAGTAGAGGTGAAGAACTATAAAATAAACTATTTAATAGCTAATTCATTAGAGACGAGCCCACAACACAAACATGCTTTTTAAAAAAACAATATAAATCCAATAAATGTACTTTAAAAAGTAATAAAGCAACTTATAAGATCTACTCTTATTGAGTAAGCACTTAACGTATAAAAATTAAAGTTGATTCTTATAATCATGTGTTTTAATTAATTCAAGCTTTGTATTGTACATAAAACTGAATGAATATATTTTATGAGACAGATTTATTTGTGTCTCATAAAGTGATACAATATAAAACGAAGTTTGAATATCATAATAAATAAACCCTAATAGTTATTGTATCTTACAATGGGTTAGATATCCTATAAATGTACATATAAATTCTAAAAATTATTGTATGTAAAGTTCAAGTTAGAATAACACATTGTAAGTACATGTTTAGAAACTTACTAAAATTATGTTAAACCGTGTTTTAAATGTGAAAGTTATAAATTAGGTTGAAATAGATCCATATTTGAGTGAATTTAACGCAAAATCAAACATGTTATAAGTGTTTGTTTGTATTGTAAATGAAACAAAATGAATGCATTTTGCAGGATACATTTGTTCAAGTGAAAAGTGTTACAATCTAACAGAAGTTTGAGCGTCATAACAAACAAACTTTATTATTATATTAAGACGTGAGAAGTATAAAAAAAAAGGAAAATAAATAATTTTTAAATTTTTTAAATTTAAAATTAAGGAATAAAATAAAAAAGAATCTTCTATTTTTTTGCTTATTTAATTAAATAAAAATTGACAAAATAAAATTTTGTTTGAAAGAAAGTTTTATTTTTATATTTGGAATATAGTTTATTATTATTATTGCATAAAATGGGTATATTAAGATATATTTATACTTTTCTCTTCTTTTTATTCACAAATTAGGGAGATCAATTTTCGTGTTGGCGTCCCATCATTTTTCCCCATTTTCACTAATATCTTAGTTATTAAAATTAGTGTGTACTAATATATTATTATAATAATTCCTGCACTTTTAATATAATGTTATAGTAAAATGATTTGTTATATATACAAGTGCCTTCAAAAATGAAATGGAAGGAATGAAAAAGGAGAATCAGCAGAGTCCAACAAGAGTAGTTAAAAAACAAGAAGCATATTACGAGAAGCCAAGTTAGGTGAAGATTATAATTTTGTTAATTAAAGGGGATACAGTTTAGATTCTACTTGTGTTTTATTCATTACCCTCGCCCCTCGGAAAGTCGAGCAGGCAATTTTCGACAAGCGGGACAAAGTTACCACCGTATCACACAATGTCTGACGCATTTTTCTGTCTCAAATATAAAACTGGTTGATCCTATATATATTCATGAGCATGTGAACCTAATATGGAAGCGATTTCCTCCTTTACAAGTTAAGCACTTAAGCCCCCATTTCACATGCGGATCCAGTTGAGGACAAAATGGTTTAAACTCTAGTTGCTCAAGTGCTCATGGGGACATTTGGAAACGAGTCCTCTGTTACGATTTTATATCATAAAGCCACAAGAAAAGGCAAAAAAACGTCAAATAGTATCTGTCTTTTTCTTTTATCTCGGAATAAACATTAGAGAATTCATTTCCACGTAATGATATGATTACAAACTAAAGTATTGAAATACTTAATGGATCAGGACTTTACAAAGGGTTAGGTTCTTGCCTAGGTTTTTTCTTCCGACAATTCAAATACAGAAGAGGGGACAAAAAAGGAGTTATTAAGACAGAAAAGATGAGAAGTATAACCATGGAAAAGTCTTAATTAACCCTTATTATCGCATTTTAGCAGCAACTCCTTCATATACTCTTAATTGGAGACTCCAAAAACTTCAGATTCGCTGAAGCTCAATATTAGTTTAGGACATGTGCCTGTAAACGATAGCAGCATGCATAGTAATGAACTAAATTCGTATCTGTTACGTCAGCTTCATATGATATTCCATTACCAAGTGCCGGCTCTATGTATGAAAAATCAAAAACCCACTAACATTCGAATGCTAAGTCAGTTTATGTTTAACAGATTTTACTTTCAGATAGTAAAATCACACTTTTCATCCGGGTTCTGGGCTTACATTCAGCAAGCAAGCATGTGTTTGCATTGAATAGTGTTTGGTTATACGCATTTTCAAGTTATCACTACTCCTTAGGCGTTAAAGATAAACACACGTTAAAACTTTCGTATGTAACGGACGGGAGAAAAATGGAAGAACTTGAACCGTACAATGATTCATAGACAAGTAAACTGCAGTAACATTGTCCCAGACAGAGTTCTAATGGAGAATGACACCAGCTGGGACCCAAATTGGAATGACACTTCTAATAGGTTAAATTCATCTATTCGAACACTGGCTCTGGGGACCAAAATTAAAATGACACTTCTAATAGGCTGTGCTCATCTGCTGAGCCTATAGCTCTGGGGACCAAAATTGAGAATGACACCTCTAGAAGAAAGAGATTAAGGAGTTTCCCCTTATACAACTTTGGGCTCCTACTAAAAAGGAAGCAGAGAAAGAAGGTTAAATACATGAACAAATCCAGGGGTGAATCAGAACCTCAAAATTTGATGAACCTTGCTAGACTTCCCCAGAAGTTATATGACATTGAATTATGAGTAAACCACTCGAGCAGAGCTAGAATTTGTTTAAATTAATTTTGATACAGCGCTAGCAGTTTCGAAATTTCCTTCACTAACATTCGTTATCAGAAAAATGTGTTACATACTTACATCTGTCACTTGATCCATTAAAACTGAAAACAAGGTACAGCTTGTGAAAGAGTTCATAGACAAGGTTGAAGAGATAATGACGTCTTCCAATTTGGAAAGTAAAAAAGAATTATTATGTCCAACTCAATATTTGCATAGAATAACAAGAAAAGCTCTCATGTATAAGCAAACATCAAATTGAATACGCAAGTGTCATGTGTTCAGAATATATAATACAATTAAGCAGCCAAGGAAAGATCACGGTACTGAATGGATGGGTAGGGTATAAATTCAACTAATGAGCGTAAATTACAAACGTCACAATAGAAATTCAGAGTTCTAAATGGTACCCAGTGCATTCACTTCCACTTTTCAGCATCCAATTTTCGCTTCAGCCAACATAAAAACCGTCAATTTCGAATAAAAATTGCTCAACTAGTAAAAACTAGAACGAAAAGTTGTTAAAAAAACTGCGAGAAAATCCAATAAAATTAGCCCAAAAAAAAACTGAAAAATAAAAAAAATAGGAATCAATATCCAAACAAGAATGGTTTCTAGTTTATGATGACGAATGCACCGACTCCACAAAACACTATGATGGTGGATGTATAAAAGCAAGTATCACCATATAACAAGGCCAAAATAGCTACTTTTTTTGTTTTTTTTTCTTTAATTAAACTAAGACGGTTCAAAACATGAAAAATAAAAAACATAAACTTGTTATTATAATGCAATAAAAAACAACTAAAAGCACTAATAAACCCTTTTTTCCAGATTCAATAGCGATGAAGCGACGAAACGGAGAAGAATCATTCAGAGCGACTGGCGAACCTCTCAACCTTGGTGTCTGTCAAATTGAGACCAACCATGGCCTCACCCAAACCACAGCTAACCTCAGCCAAAACCTCAGGGTCACTGTAGTGAGTAACAGCTTGAACAATCGCCCTAGCGCGTTTCGCAGGGTCACCGCTCTTGAAAACGCCCGAACCAACAAAAACCCCATCGCAACCCAACTGCATCATCAAGGCAGCGTCGGCGGGGGTGGCCACGCCGCCGGCGGCGAAATGAACCACGGGAAGCCTTCCGAGCTGCTTGGTCTGCATGACGAGGTCGTAGGGAGCAGCGATTTTCTTAGCGAAGGTGAAGACCTCGTCGTCGTCCATGTTGCGGAGAACCCTAATGTCGCCCATGACCGACCTCACGTGACGAACGGCCTCAATGATGTTGCCGGTGCCGGCTTCGCCTTTGGTGCGGATCATGGCGGCGCCTTCCCGGATGCGGCGGAGGGCTTCGCCGAGGTTGCGGCAGCCGCAGACGAAGGGGATGCGGAAGTTGTGTTTGTTGATGTGGTTTTCGTCGTCGGCGGGAGTGAGAACTTCGCTCTCGTCGACGTAGTCGATGCCGATGGCTTCAAGGATCTGGGCCTCAACGAAGTGACCGATGCGGGCCTTGGCCATGACGGGGATGGTTACGGCCCGCTTTATGTCTTTGATGAGTTGTGGGTCGCTCATGCGGGCGACGCCGCCTTGGGCCCGGATGTCCGCGGGGACGCGCTCAAGAGCCATGACGGCGCAGGCCCCGGCCTCTTCGGCGATGCGGGCCTGGTCGGCGTTGACGACGTCCATGATGACTCCGCCACGGAGCATCTGGGCGAGGCCCACTTTGACGGAGAATGGGGACTTCTTGGTTTCGGTGATGGCCCCGTTGCCGTAGACTGTTACGACACCAGATCCTTCCATTGTTAGAGAGAGAGAGAGGAGTGTTGTTTTGTGTTCTTAAGAGACGAATGAGATTTTGTGGTGTTGTTGTGCGGTGAGGAAAGGGTTAAGTAGCGCTCACATCTCTCTATGAACTGCTTTTTGCTGCCTTCGCCCCTTCGAATGAAAAGGGGCCACGCATTACTGTGCTACGCCATTATTTCTTTTATCTTTATTTATTATATTCTCGCCTCTTCCTCACATATTTAAGCTTCTGTCTTAAATGTTCTAAATTATATACATATTATTGTTCTTTTTATTATTTTTAATGTCTTTTTTCATAACTTCTAAGATTTTTTTAAGTCGTTATCTTAAGAGTATTATTATATTATTTTCTGGAATGTCATGCATTAATTTACTTTATTTTTTAAATCATTCAAGTGGAAGTTATATTGATTTAATTTTTTTAAATTTTAAAAATATATTTCTTTAATAATATTAAAATTAAAAATCCACTAGTTATATTTCAATCAAGAGTCTTATTTATATTTTGAAAAGTTATATATATATATATATATATATATATATATATTTGTTCATTTATTTTTAAAATAATTGAAATTCCGTTTTATTATTAAAAATTAAAAAACATTGTTGTTTTAATTTTATATTTTATAATATAAATTATTCAAATAAGTATCATTTCATTAAAATTAAGAATTAAAATAATTGTTGTTTAGTACTCTTACAAATAAAAAATACATTTTTAAAGAAGTGAAATTAATTCTTATTCATAATTTTATAGATTAATTAGTGAATTATATTCTCTCCTTATAATTATACAAAGATATTACCGGCAAGTGATAGTATTTAATACATTAAGTGTATTTTTTAATTTAAGTTAATATATATATATATATATATATGAATTATATTTAAACTAATAAGAAAAAAAAAAGGATTATTTTATAACACTACGAAATAACTAAAAAAATATAGTAAAATTAAAATAATTAAAAATAAAATTAATAATAAAATTATGAATCATAAAAAGTATTAATAATATATTTTTGTATTAAAATAATTATTGAAATTTATGACATGAAGGTTATCTTCTTTTTTCTGCAATATTTTTCTATTATTAAGAGTTTAATTTTTTTAATTAGAAGAATTTATACACATATTATATTATTTCAGTCTGTAACTATATTGTGTTTACATATGTATTGTTAATTTATTTAATAAAAAAGTTATGCATTTAATTTTATTGTTTACAGAATTTTCCAAAACCAACAATAACTACAGACCACAGATAAAAATTTTAAAATCTTGGAAACTTTAAAAATACTTTTAATCTCTTATCTTGAATGAAAACAAAAAACAAAAAATAAATAAAAAAATCTCAAAGTAACATTTTCTATTGCTACCTCTTGCGTGCGTGCATTGAGGGCCAGCTGATTTGTTTCCATATTTTATCAAACAAGGGTCCGTTTGTTTGGCACCTCGAAGTTTGTGAGAAATTGTATTACTTAAATTAATTTTTTAATACGTAGTTAAAGCATGTATTAAAAATGAAAAATATTAAAATTTGAAAATAAACAATTAATAATAATAAAGTTTTATTTTAAAAAATTTATTATACTTGTATCACTTTAATTTGTAATTCTAATATTAAAAGTTTAAATTCAAATTTAAAGATTGAAATTAATAAAATTCAAATAATAATTTATTATTAAAAATTATACTATTTAATATTATTACTATATTAATTTTTTTAATATATTATTATTTTTAATACCCATTTATGTATTACATTAAAAAATTATTATTTGTAATATATTATTATTACAAATTATACTGTTACTCAATATCAGAGTCCTTGTATCAAATTAACAAATATAGTTCTATTATGTAACCACTTTTATATGTTTTTTTCTTTATCTTGTATACATACACATATTTTTTTAACTACGCTTAAAATTAAATAAAACAACTTTTTTTTTTCCCCAAAATTTGTGCTCTGAAAACATTGTTCAATATAGCCATCTCTTGTTCTCAAAAGACGCAAGAAAACAAATTTAAGCACGGAATATATTTTCAACATATAATAAATTTTAATTTAAAATATACTAGTTGTTGTCTCTTATTTATATTTTATTTATAGTAAGAATATTGATTTTATTTTACAATAATGTTATGGATTTAATAAATAATAAAGTTACTTCTTATTCCTTGCGGATGCTTTTAATTTTTTTACTACAATTAAGTGTTTATGTAATTTTCTATCCAAAAATGGTATCATTTAAAGTTATTTCCAAAAGTATGGAATGTTATAGAGTATAATGATCCACATTGATGAGAAAAACAACTTTTTCTATCACATCAAATTGATATTTGCTATAGTTGCATGAATGCATTGAAGTCCATCTGATTTCTTACTATATTTTATCAAACAGAGGTTCTTTGTTTTGCAGAAGATGCGTGTAGAATCGTGATTTGGCATAATCTCTTATTCTGCTAAAAGACTGTGAATGATTATTATTTTCACAATAAGTAATCAGAATAATTTTAGAAATGGATTTTTTTTAACATATAATGAATTCATTTTACAAGATAACAGATATTATCCTTCATTCCTGTTATTTGTAGTAATAATCGTGATTTTATTTCACATTGGTATTCACTAAATGACAATAAAATGATTACCAGATTCTTTTGTGGTTTTTTTTTATTTTAATCAAGTGTTCATGTAATTTCAGACCAAGAGTTATGTGAAGTTCTTTCTAACATACCCACTAATTTAATCAATAACATTTATCTAGAACAGTAATCTATCATAATTATGACATTATAATTAGTGTTACTTTTTAAATTATATTTGAAAAATTATGTAATAATATTTATGTTCAGTTTAGATAAATTTTTTATAAAATTAATATAAAATAAATAAAGCATCTTTTATAAGTTTAAAATAATTTATATTTTTTACTTTTTATAAGTTCTCTTGTTTAATTTCTATAAAATTTAAGAAGATAAATTATTTTTAACTTATAACAAGAGCTTTTTTTTATATATATTAGAAAAAAATATTGATTATCGTTAGACAATAAAGCCACCTAGTTAATGAAGACTATTAAAAAAACTCTTTCTTAATTTTAACGTGTTTTATGTTAAGAAAATGTTTATATTTATTTGTTTATTTTTACATTATTTAACATCTTTAAAAATCATTTTAAGTATTATTTATAAAATTAGAAAATAATGATATATATACCATTAAATTTCAATAGGTTAAAAATATAATGTATTTTAAATTAAATAAAGGCGGAATATATCAATATTATTCTCTTTTCAGAAGAGCCATTTTCAAATGAGATTGACACTTCAATCTACGACCAAAAAAAAAAAAGTTTTTTCTTTAATTATTTTTAGGCCCTTGTGGCATATCCTATGCCAACGAAAAGGAGACAAAGAATAAAATAAAATTATAAGGTGAGTATCTTTCGGTTATTTAAATCTTACAGATAATAGCGGAAACACTCTTTTTATGCAAATTTTGGAAATTTACATCGATTTGTTTAAAATATAATATGAATAAAACATAATTATATAAAATCAAAATAAATTTGTAATAATCAAAAGAATTAATCAAGTCCAATAAAATAATTAAAAAATACCCACTTTAAAAAGAGTGTGAAATGAAAGTAGAAAGAAGGGATAAAAAAAATAAAAGATATAATGAATGATACGCATAAAATAATAAAAAATGTAAAGGACAAAATAAATTAAATTAACATAACAGTTTGTTGACAAATATTAAATGCATGGGTTGGTCGTCTCTTTGTGTTGTTACATTTTCTTTATCTTAAAATATTTATGCATTAAAAAATTAATATATAAAACGTTTTAAAAAAAAACAATTATATTGATAATATTATTCTCATAATATTTAAGTATTTATTTTCCCAGACGTGACAGTAGCATTTCTTTTATATATGAAATGTGACACTTGATTTTCTACTTGAAAACTATGGCTATGGGAAACTGAGTCTCAAATTAAAAATTACAGGTAATTTTATGAGCTAAACATTATTATTTATTTATTCTTTACACAAAGAGTGGAAGTGGAGATAAAGGAATAAAGAGGGCCATTCGTTGGCAATCTTGAATATGAGTGGGGTGGGGAAAAGAGAAAGGGAAAAGGAATTTGTATTGAAGATGTTGATCCACTCTTTCCACCTCCACACCACTTATATCTGTTTCTACGTCATACAATTATATATATATATATATATATTGTTTCATTTTCTTCATCATGTGGTCTCACCTCTCACTCACCAAACTCCACCAATTACATTTCTCACTCTCTTTCCTCCAATCCTTCTTTGCTTTTTATTTTGACTCTCATTAGACCACTTGCTCTTTTTCCTATTATTATCATTGAAAATCCTCTCAATTTTAGTTCTCTAAAAGATGTCACTCTCCTTCTCAACTTTAACTCATGTTTCTTTTGTTTTTTTGTCCACAACTAATGCTCTCTTGAATAATCATGCCTCTTAATAAACTTTTATTTAGGAAAATAATGTATTTTTATTTATTATAATTATATCATATTACTTATCTGATATAACTATATTATAGATACAATTATATTATGTTTCACTAACAATATCTTACTGTATATTGACAGTTGGACATGAAGTTTAAGTATAATTTTGTTTTATAAAAATTAAATTATGCTGATATAAATAATAAATTTATACTAACAATTTAATTTGTTACATTAATAGATCGATAATTCTATTATTATTAAAATTTATATACACCATCGGTATATTCTTGTCAGTAAGATATATTATACTGTTAATAAAAATTAATAATGTTTATAAATATAATAATCATTTCATTTTAATTAAAAAAATTATTAGATTAGAATCATTTATAATGCCAATTTTTTTTTCAATGATCTATGACATTTTTTTAGCATCTCCATCGAGAGTAATTCTCACAATTATCCCTGAAATTATCGAGAATTATATGTAAGCAGCAGAACTACGTCATTTAGTTTGTGACTCGCTTGTATTTGAATTCTATAAATAACAAGAAATTTCACATAGATATGAGTAAATATTTATTTAAGTTTCTCAAATTCGATATACATTGTTAGGAAAAAAATTCCTTATATACCACTAATCAGGTTGGCAGTGTTGTTCACAATATATATATATATAGTTACATTAAGATTTCGGTAAGAAGAATTTGAATTTAAGAATATGGTTACATTAAGATTCGGTAAGAAGAATTTTATCACTTTTAATAATCTTATTCAACATGAATCTGGATAAGGTGAGTCAAATAAAAAGAGTTTATTTAAGATAATATAATAGGAATGATTTTTAATTGTTTGGAAAAAGGAAAATTGAGATATTGAGAAAATATAGTTTTAGGATGTTCCATTTTTAACAAACTTAATACTCGTACAACGATAAAGTACCATTGTCATTAGCTAGTATAAAGATGATAATTAAAAATTAAACAATATGTAAGTGAGTTGTGTTAAAAGAATAAAGTTTAAATATTAGAACTATCACTAGTTTAAAAGTCCTGCAACACTATATAAATAAGAATGGTCAAATTGTGTGATATTTTCAATTTTTTTCAATAGCCCCAGTGCTTATTGTAAACATGATTTCAATCTTATTGCCTCTAAAGTAAAATTTCAACTTACTTCTAGTGTAACATGATTTCAATCTTATTTTCTAAAATTAACACAATAATATGTAAAAACTCATGCACACATGACTAAGATGTGTGGAAGTTTCTAACAATCATTGTCTGAAACATAGAAAGAGATGTAGAAGAAATTAAGAAAGAGTAGTAGCCTTGCGATCAACTCTTTTTAATATGTGTATCACTAGGGTTTGTATGATAGGGTTTCCTAGCAATAACAATTGTTATTCTAAAATATGAAAATGAAGTCAACAAACACAAAATTTGACAAATAAATTGTCATAAAGAGTATTAAATGTTATGTCTCTCAATAGAAAGAAAAGAAATATTTTGGTAAGTCAAAATCCTTGAAAACTTGTCTGAAAAAAAAAAGAATAATATAAAAGATTACAAAATCTATATGAGACGCTCGTACCTAACTCGACTCAACAATGTGTACACGTGTGTATTGGTAAGCTAATAGCCCACACGATAACCCATTATTCAAGACAAGAAAGTAGAATAGGAAAGACAAATATGAAGACTAATAAAAGACTAAAATAGAGTTTACATAAGGGTTGAAGCTTTTGAAAGAATAGAACTTGCTTGTTATTATCCAACCTTAAATTTATGAAGTGGAATAAATAGGCTTAGTCATAATAGTAAAAATAATGAGTAATTAGTTAAGTGATATATGCATAATTATTCATAAGTGAAGTCTTAGACTCAAATAAGACTAGAGCTCTAAAAAAAAACAGTTTATGATAGCAAAACACTATCCTTTCCAGTTTTCTTTTCTTAATTATATATTAAGTTTAGGATTTTTGTTTTATTTAATTTTCTAGTAATTTGAAATTTGTAACTCCTTTCACTTTTGATAAGGATTCTAAGATTTATCACAATTCAATTTATTTTGAATAAAAATTCATTTTGTTCACTATCATCGATGGGACAAAAGCCTGAAAATAAATTAAATTATCTATGAACCTTCTCTAAGAGGAGGAATAAAGGAAATAAGAGCCTTCTCAAAAATTTGATGACATCGAAACCTATTAAACTCTCAAAAAAAATTATGATCAATCTAGGATGACAAGCCCATCTGTCCAAAACGAGATGTTGGCTGCTTAGATTTCTCAAAGGAGCAAAACATTAACATATGACATTTGAAGGCTATCCTACCTTTACAAGGTGCATGGCAATTTGAAAGTGCAATTTCATTATCAACTTACGAACTCCCAACATGTGTTCTAGTTTGAGGTCTAAAGACAAAGTTCCATCTTCGTAAAGGAGTAAATGTCGGATTTATGGTAAACAAATTTTGCTTCATGCATGAAAAGTCTTGACTCATAACTTTTTTTTTTTTTTTTAGCTTTCATTAGTCTTTATATTTCTTTCTTATTCTACTTTTGTTGTTTTGAATAATAAGAATAGTGTGGACTATTAGATTATCATACATGTATGTGCATGTTGTTGAGTTGGATTAAGTATGAGTGTGTCATAGATTTTGTAGCCTTTTACTACTCAATTTTCACTAACCCTTTTTATTGAGACGGAGCATTTAATACTCTTTATAACAATTTATTTCTCCATTTTTATGTTATTGCCACAAAACCCTAATTACACAATCTCTAATGATATACATGTTAAATAAAAGTTAAATCTTTTACCTCTCTTTTAATGTTATATACAATATTGTAAGAGACTTCCAACACGTCATAATTTTAAGGGTACAAAATTTTACACGTTGTCTGTTAACATTAGAAAGTAAGATCAAAATTATGTCGCAAAAAAGTTCATTAAAATCCCAGTTTTGATGCAATGATTCCGTGAGGATGTTGTTTCCCTTTTTCTTTCTTGTCAAAAAATACTAGGGTTATTGGTGAAAATGAAAACTCTCACATAATTCCACCATGATAGTTCTTCTTTACTGTGTTGCAAGACTTTCAAATTAGTGATTATTTTGTTTTTTTTATACTATTAAGTATGTACTAGCTTTAGCCTATTTTTTCCTCTGATAAAAAAAAAAGAAAGTTTCCAATGTAATAAAAAAATTATGTGTTTATGACAACGGATTTTTTTTTTCTAAAACAAAACTTTCTTTTCCATTTTAGTTTTCAACGGTCTTTTCTTTTAACTAGGAAATGATCTAATTTGAGACACACTCGAGTATAAAATGGGGGGTACTTTAAGTGCCTCTCCCAGCAAACACTATTTTTTTAAAAAAAATTCAATCATTAACTTGTTATGTACTTTATACATAAAAAAAAATTATTATTGTTTACAGTCTAATCGGATAACTCGATCTCTTTCGATTTTTAAAATGCTACTCTCATTTTTTGAATGCTAAAAATATTAAAATTAAGAAAACAAAACATAAGTTACGAATGCTTTATTTCAAGTAGTTTTTTCATGTCCAAAATAATAATATACTACTACCATATATATATATATATAAATAATATAATTACAGTTTCTTTAACAATAAAACAACTCTTATGAGGTAGTTTTCTCCCGCATTTTTTAATAAAGTGAAAAAAATATAACAATTTTATTGTAAGAGTATTACGAAAAGATGACAAATCTCGAGAAACTGAAGATAAGATTTTACAACCAAAACAACAATGACAAAGCAGAAGAATAAAATGCCAACAAAAAGGCAAGAATCTAGCTTCGGCTCCGAAGCTGTTCGTGACCGTTGCACCGTACCTAGATTTTAAAATGGCCCTAAACTCAACACAAACACAACCCAAAGAACAGCACAATCACATTTTCTGCTGTTTCCTTCCCTCTCTCTGATACCATCAAAATTCAAAAGCAATGGTATCAAAGGTGAAGAGAGCCCCAATCAAATCAATAAAGAATCGTCGTTGGCGTCGGAAAACACCCATAAAAAATGTGGTGGCGGCGTCCTCCGCCGTGCTGGCCTCCATCCACCGTCGCATCACAAAACTCTTCTCCAAATTAGCACGCCTCAGCACCACCCACAAGAAAACCTCGTACAAAATCCTCAAAAAGACAGCCTCAGATTTCTATTCCCAACAAGAACAACAATCCTTAGACGCCATTCGTCGAACCCTCGTCTTCGACAACGTCAACGACCCACCGCTCCTTCCACCCTCTCTCTCCCCTCGCAGAACCGTTTTCCTTGACCTCGACGAAACCCTCATCCACTCCAAGGCCTCGCCACCGCCGGAGCACTTTGACTTCGTCGTCCGGCCGGTGATTGACGGCGAGGTGATGGATTTCTACGTGCTGAAGCGCCCCGGCGTCGACGAGTTTCTGGAATCCCTCGCGAAAAAGTTTGAGGTGGTGGTGTTCACCGCTGCGCTGAAGGAGTACGCGTCGATGGTGCTGGACCGGCTGGACCGGAACCGTTTCATCTCGCACCGGCTTTATCGTGACTCGTGCCGCAACGTCGATGGGAAGTTCGTGAAGGACTTGTCGGAAATGGGTAGGGATTTGAAACGGGTCGTTATCGTTGATGATAACCCGAATTCTTACGCGAACCAACCCGACAACGCGATTCCCATTCGGCCTTTTGTTGACGATCTTTGCGATCGGGAGCTTTGGAAATTGAGGCACTTTTTCAATGGGTCTGATTGCTATGACGATATGAGGGATGCTGTTAAGCACTACGTCACTGTGCAACAGCAATGTTAGTGGTTTTTTTTATTCGCTTGTGTTGAACAACGATTTGTTCAATGTCTGGTGGGAAAAGAGAAAACTGGGAAAATGCTGTGTATTACTAATTCATTAGTTTAGCTTTGATTGTTGTGTTAGTTAAATGGTTTTTTTTATTGTGTGTTTCAAACGATGGAAATAATGCATGATCGGGCTTCCAATGATAATATTGGTGGATCAAATTCGGAAATTCCTAGCAAGTGGTAGCGGTTCTAACAAGTACATTGATGTCTGAATGAAAGTGTGCTTCTAACAACAAAAAGTGTACCACATTCCATATAAATTAACCATGTAACTAAAGCAGTATTGCATAATTTTTTATTACTCTCTATTTATGCTTATGTGTATCCTATTTTCTTATATGTAACAGTTGTGTGACTGTGTAAGCAATTCTCTCTCCTGCATTAACAACTTTAATCTTACAACTCATTGAGTACCATTAGTTTATTTTTAGGCAACCTCCCCACTAAAGATAATCTAACGCGATAATTTTAAAATAAGTTGCAACAAATTAATTTGTTGATGATTTTACACCAACATAAACACCAGTATCAAGATGCCGGGCAGTTGAGTCCTGGCCGGCCCTATGAACTGGTTAAGATTAGAATTTATCTTCAAAGAAATTTTTTTTCCAGAGTATACATTCAAACTCGTCAAATATTTTCTATTCATTAGTAGTACATTTGACGCATCGTAGTTTCATGCAGCATAGAAAATTTCACAAATGACTACTTAAAAGCAATCACATGGCAAATCAAGCTTACCAGCCACTTTTCTTTCCTCCTCTTCTTGTCTACTATATCTCTATTTATGGCTATTAAGATCAGATGAATGATTTGCAGCTGGAAAATATCAGAAAAAACCACAACATTCTTTTTTATAAATTGTATTATCTATTCAATGGAGCACATTATGGAAACCCGTAGTTGGATTATCCGCGTTAAGGTAACTCTCCCTTCAAATAAATGCTTGTCAAGAAATTAACATGGCACCTCTGTCTCAAATTACCATACTTAAATTCTGCTAGGCTGATATGCTTATAACCTTGTTTCTTGGGAAGAGAATGTTTAGGCAACAAATTTTTAGCATTTCGTAGACAAGCTGAAACTTTGAAGCGATTTATTACTGATAAATATTTGGCAAGGCAGAAAGGGAGTTCAAAGATGCTGCGAAGAATTTCTCCAAAAAAAAAAACAGTAGGAAAGGGGTAGAAATATATATTACAAATGTAGCTTGAAAGGTTGGAGCTTTTAAGCAATCTTAGACTTAGTTGCCTCCTAGATGGCACAAAAATGTAGCGCTGCATATATTGATTGATTAAGATAACTCTGTTTATATCATCACAAAATTGGCTCTTAAATTATGATGATTCACTCTCAACTACACAAGGAAACAAAAGACTTGCCTTTTCCTTTATACGTCTTATATATTCCTGATGCTAATCTTGGTCAATCTATAGAAAAAAAATAAAATTGGACCTTTGTAAGAGATCTTAGACTTAGTTGTCTCCTAGATAGCACAGAAATGTCGATTTTGGGCACTGTATATTGAATTAGCATAACTGTATTAATCATCAATGAAACTGGGTTAAAAGTTATGGTGATTCATTTTCAACTACAAGGAAATAAAAGAACTATTTTTTTTTCCTTAAATGCTATTTCTGCATTATATATTTTACATGTTAAGAGTCTCTATTAGTATAAATGGAGCTAAGTGCCTTGTCTTTTTTGTATTACATCTTTGATCCTTCACAACAATATCAATACAATTTAACTAGTGAGCATTCGCTTTCCTTCCCCTATACTAGTGTACTTAAATCCTATAATTTCAATGGTATTAGAGAGGTACCACCATCCTCTATGGCTTGTTCATCCCTATCCCATTACCGAGTATTTCCTAATGTTAGTAACACTTTGTTTGGTATATTCTGTTTTGACATTTCTTAGTTTCCTACGACCATTGTTTCCCTTCCATTGGTTGTCAGCTTGTGACAAATTCTGGTCACCCTGTCTCTCTCTACTTTGTTAGTGGACTTTTGTGCTCGTCATTGCCACCCTCTTTTAGGAAATCCCTAGATCGTCCCATCTGCCATGTCTCTCAGACACACTTTATCTATGTTCCAGCTGCTGTCAGCATTGGATCTCCTGTCCAAACACCATCACTTATTAAAGTGAAGGCATGAAGTGTCAGATTCTCCTCCAGCCATCCCTCCAAGTGTTGTTGCCAAAGTCACCACCAAAATCCCCCATGCGTGGCTTCTACTATCTGTGTGTATAGTTTCATTTGCCCCCCTCCAACACCCGTTTGACTCACCACCAATGACATTGTTTGTTGGCATCCCCTTGTCCTTTTTGGGGGGGCTCAGAAAAACCTCATTGGCATTGTTGAAGTAGTTGATCGTTAGTATCCACCTCACACTTGTTTTTGTTCATCCTTCTAGGCAGCCAATTGTCCAAGCTACAGTGCCAATCCATCTCCCGGTTCTATTTTGGTGGTTTGCAATCTCCTTGTCTTGTGCAGTTGTCATCCCGTTGCTAACCCTAAGAGTTTCTTTGGTCTTCCAATACACCTAACTGTTGTTGGGGCCTCTCTTTTACTGTTGTTTGAAGCTTCCAAACAGTGTTCTCAATAAGCTTGAAGAAGTTTTAGTCTTTTTTTTTTTTTCTCTAAATTGTATGCCAGGAAATTTCACTTAGGATCATTCTAGCTACGTCTTTTCCTCAGTTATGCAACATTGAAGCCATAATGCTCATCTCTCTTATGCCTCCAGCATTCCAATTGCATTTCAAACCATGTTTTGAGGAGCCCATATTTTTTTTTTTCCTTTTTAAATTGTTCATTTATAATAAATAGTCTTAAAGCTGAGTAAGCTTTAGCTTAAGGGGAAGTGTAGAATAGCTAGAGGATATCTCACAACATCATGATTATATATTATAATAGTGTGGGTTATCTTATATGATCTCTTAAGAATAGTTTCCATATTGCACGCCATAATTTGTTTCCTTATTTAACTAGGATTAGGAGTCTTTTATTAGTATAATTAGAGCTTAGTACTTTTCCTTTTCTGTCATACCTAGTCACATCCTTGACATCAACTTAATCTATTATCTTAGTATTCCTTTTCTTACTTCTATACCTAAATCAATATAATCTCAACATCTCTCTCTCTCACAGACACACATACACACTAACTAAAGATGAAAATTGACAGTTCAATTACACATAACGCAAGCTTAGTACATTTGCATCTAGAGTACAACTCCTCCTACCCCTTCTCCTCACTAAACTCCCCAAAATATTAATCATATCAAGCACAATCTGCGCCGCTGAAGTGGCGGTTATTCACCTCACCTCCAAAATCGATACGATAAGTTGGTCAGAAAGTAAAATTAAATGAAAAATAAATCCATTATTTCTTTGGCCAGAATATCAACATTGTTTGGACATTTGTCAACAAATTTTCGAACCACATCAAGCACTTCTAACAATGATGGCAAAGTGACCTTCCAATAACTTGAATAAAAGGAAAAATATGTTCAATGGGGAAGGGAGGGGGTTGGTGCTACATATAACTATTTCATCACCAATTTAACTATATAAAGTTATGAACTGATAAACAACTGTTTTATTGTTTAGCACATTTTAATGAATCATTTGCTCCGTCAGCTAAACATTATGTCTAAAGATGAACCAGCGTAAAATTGATGAAAGTTAAGCTCATTTCAACAAAGCTTTTGCAATGTCAGTAGCTTGCCAAAAACATCCAAGTTAAACAGCAAAAGATCAAATCTAGTCATCTCCTTCTGTCTCTCCTATTCTAATCGTGTATCCAATTTGACAAATCAAATCATAGATTGAATCAACAAAACAACAATAATCCATTACAAGTTCAACAGCACCCTCTTCCAATTAATAATTTCATACACAGTGAGAGATTTTCTTTCTAAAACAAAAGCGCCACATATATTGCAGTTTTGCGTGGCACAGATCCTAATGACAAAACCAGAAAAATGGAATGGATCTCACCGGATCAACCCACAAGAATAAACCTGATGGGGCAACCTCCATGCCTCAGATTTAGCGAAGCACATGTCATCAAGAACCTCACTGGTACACCAGCTACACTTTGAGTAGTGTGAGCACTGAGACTGCACCACAAGCTCTCCACAATTGTTGGGGTGCTGAGTGGCCCTTGACTCAAATAGTTGCCGAGTTGAAGCATCCTCAGAAATTCCACGCCCATATCTGGAGAACCCATGAGAGGGTTGAGAGAGAGAAGCATGGATGAGAAGAAGGAGGAAGAGGATTGGCACCGAAGTGGATGGTTGGTTCGGGAAGAATGGAGAGAACGCCATGGATGAAAAGAAAGGTTCACGTTTTGAAGTTGGTAAAGCTCTCAACACAGACGTAGACACGGGACATACCCGACAGTGAAAAAAGGTTGCTTCTTTTATTTGACGCATTTTGAAAAGGTTCTTCCAACCGAAACGCGTTTTTCTACTTCTTCGACCGTAGATGTAATGTCGTTGAGCACAAGAAACGTTGTTCAAAACGACAACTGTTTCCCTACTTGCCACGATAAGTCTGACATCCTTGTAACGACATCGTTTTGCTTTTCGGATGATAATAAATAGAAAAAGAAATAATTAAAAATTCAAGTATGATAAAATCTACTATATGCTACGATTGAGAAGGTTCAATACCTTTCTTACAAATTTTTTTTATTCTTTCTTAATAATCTATGTTATAAAATAGTTTATGCTGAAAAAAAATTAAATTTAAATTATTTATTAAGATTTTAAATTTACTTTTTATTTATTGTTAATATATTTTAATAATAAATTTTAATTTTTTTTAACTTTTGATATATAAATAATAAATGTTATGATAATAATTTTTAAATTAATAATTGTAATTTTTTTAATATCTTAAAAATTAAAATATATTATATTTTTTAATTGAATTATTAATTTTATTATTTATTAATATAAAATTAATCTTTTTAATTATAAAAAAATACTAGTAAATATTTTATTTTTTTATTTTTATTTTTTATTTTTTATCATTTAAAATCAAATAAAATACTAACAAAAATTAGTTTAAATAATAAGTGAACTCAATATTACTTAAATAATTCAAAAAAATTTTAATAATAAATTTATTCGTCATATTTAAGTATACAATTTAAATAATATCTAAATTAAATTAGATAAAAAAATAAAATAAAAATATATGTAAATATTCTATATTTTATATATTTTTCAATAAAACACTTTTAATTTTAATTCTTTTACAATTAATCTTTAATCATATCAAGTAATTCTTTGAATTAGATATTCAATCATTAAAAATTAATAAATTTTCATTATTGATCTTTGTGAATTTAAAATATTATATAATATATATAATACCTTAAATTTATTAAAAAATTAAATATTTAATAATTAATAAAAGTTATAAAAAAGAAATAAAATAAATTTATTTTTTTAATATGTAGTTAAAGTACATAATAAAAATTTATATATAATAATTTTTATGTTAAAAATCGATTAAAAAAATAGAACGAGGAGAGATAAGTTGAATATTGAGGGTCCGCACGAAAGGGAGACGTAAAACTTTGGGGAACTCTGAAATGATAACACGCCATTGAAGCTCTAATTCGATTTCTGTTGCAGACCCTTTCGTCTTTGCTGTCAAAGTTCCGTTCTTTTGCCCCAAAATTGATTTTTTCAGTTCAAAATTTTCATTTCTGTTGACAATATAGGTAGATATTATTATATACACATACATGCCCTATTTTGGTGTTTGTCTAAGGTGTGCCAATGGAGGCAAAAAACTCCGATTTTCAAAATCAGGTTCAAGTTGTATCTGCCAGGGTTTCAAGTTTCTCCCTTGGCGACCACACATCCAATTCTGATTCTCCTCTGGTAAATTTTCTCCTTCCTGAACTAGATATGCACGTGTTTTTGCTTTGGGGAATTGAAAATTTCTGCACTTTTTGGATATTGGTTTTTGTGTAGGTGTGAAATTGGACCTTGAAAATCTTTTCTTTTTCTTTTTGTTGGGGAGATTCGATGTGCCGATTATGCATTTAAAAATGAAACTGAAAGTGAAAGAGGAATACGGAAACTATTCATGGATAATTCGAAAACATAAAACATAATATATTACTATAATTTTAAAATAATATTGATTTGGCCTTTTTAAGACTGGGTATGGTTTGATGCTTTATGGTTTATGAGGTTGATTAGCCTTGCTTTGATATCATTGACAGGATGATGAGGTGGATGGTAATAGGAGGGATTGTGTTACTAAAGAGCATTGTGATTCTTTTTCCATTGATAGCAGTGAAGGGCATTGTATAAATTCTTCCAGATTATATCCTGAATTACCTGAAAAACCATTGGAAAAGAATACAGAGGACATGGAGTCTTCAGCTAATCTTCAGAAGAGGGGAAAATACTTCTATTATGACACTCCACTGTATGAAGATACTGGAGTTTGGATACCGGTCTCAGTTCCACCTATGTTGGAAGATGATCACAGAGAGTGGGCCAAAGGTTTTCACTCAAATGGTGGATATTTTCCTGATGATGACATGGGATGGAATTACTTTGTTGGAGAAGAAAGGGAATTAACTATGTGGGATGTGCTAGTAGAAATGTTACTTGTAGCTCGGGGAAAAGTGACTTCTTTGGCATCAGGAGATATTCATACATATAACTTTTCGTGGATATCCAGCAATGTACTTGAACAAGCTTGGAGAGAGATGGCACAGACACTTACAGAGGCCAACTTTGGTAATGTGAGGGAACTACTAGAAGCAGAGCCTCCAAAATGGTTGGCGGATAGTGCTGCTTCTTCTTGTATGCTTTGTGGTGTGAAGTTTCACCCTATCATGTGCTCCCGGCATCACTGCCGGTTTTGTGGAGGAATATTTTGTGGTGAGTGCTCCAAAGGGAGGAGCTTGTTGCCATCAAAGTTCCGAGTTTCTGACCCCCAAAGAGTCTGCGATGTGTGCTGTGTCCGACTTGAGTCTGTACAGCCTTATTTGATGGATCATGTAAGTAATGCTGCTCAGTTGCCAACCCATGATCTGACAGATCTCAGCACTTTGAGATCATGGGTTAATTTTCCTTGGGGGCAGTCCATGGAATATGAAATTTACAAGGCAACTAACACCATCAAGGCTTATAATCAGGTAAGGGTTTGGATTTATTCATTTTCCTGCTGAAGCAGAAGCCATGCATGCCTTGTACTAATTATTATGGGGTTTACATATATAAAGAGTTCTCTCCAATGCTGATGTGTACTAGAAAATCAATTAAATATAATCATGTTTACTTTGTTGAGTATTCTTAGTTTTCTATGAAGCTTGTTGTTCTAAAAATCATTCTAAACAATTGGGTCGTTGATTAGTTACTGCCCCTAAACTGCATTTGACACACTATTCTCCTCGTCCTTCCCCTTCCCCCCTTTCAAAGAACGAGATTTACATTGTAAATCTCGTTAGTGTGTCTTGATATTAACATATGTTAACATGCCATGGTTGTGGAAGTCTATATATTTTGTGTGCTAAACTACGTTTTACTTCACCTAAAATTTCACTGTTGCAGATAGGTTTTTTAAAGCCTGAGAAATCAATTCCAGATGTGATTCTAAGACAAGCAAAAGGCCTTGCAATTATCACTGTGGTCAAAGTAGGAGTGGTGGTTACTTATAATATTGGAACAGGACTTGTGGTTGCGCGTAGGGAAGATGGTTCCTGGTCTCCTCCATCTGCTGTTTCGACATGTGGTGTAGGGTGGGGAGCTCAGGTGAAGTAACTAATCTGTAACAGTATTGATTGATCTGTCTAATTGATAATGACTTTGTTTATGAATATGATTGAAAGCAAGAATCTATCACTGTATGTCGAACAACACATACTTTTTCTGGTCTACTCTAATATTGGAATATTTCATTTTGTTGGAATCTTGCTAGAATTAATTTCACACTATTCATTTTACTTCTCAACTGTAGCAAGAACTGATCCAACTTCCTGCGCCATCTATCTGCAGCCTGTCTCAAGGTTTTACTGAAATTTATTTCCATATATTCTGAAGTGTTGACTTCTATTTTTCAACACAGGCTGGAGGAGAGTTAACAGACTACATTATTGTCTTGAGAACAAATGATGCTGTCAAGACATTCAGTGGCAACGCCCATCTTTCACTTGGAGCTGGTTTGAGTGCTGCAGTGGGCATCGTTGGTAGATCAGTTGAAGCTGATGTTCGAGCTGGTGACGGTGGCTATGCTGCTTGTTATACCTACAGCTGTAGTAAAGGTATGTTCCGTATTTGTATAATCATTTAGTATACTGAAACCCTTGCTTTAGGCATCAGTGTGCGACTTGATGTTTTCTTTCTTATTCAATGCAAAAAATTTATTAGTCTCTTCCTCTAGGATCATATGAGACTTGTCATAATCAACTACCAGTGCTATTCATAAAAAATTTAGTAATGGAAGATGTTCCATGCTTTTGGGGTGTAGTTTTTGAGGACTGTATTACTACTTGCAGGTGCATTTGTTGGATGTTCACTTGAAGGAAGTATTGTGACTACTCGGACGCAAGAAAATTCGCGTTTCTACGGGAGCCAGTCCATAACTGCAACTGATATACTTCTTGGCTCGTTGCCTAAGCCACCTGCTGCTGCCATTCTCTACCGTGCTCTTGCTGATTTGTATTTGAAGCTTGATGATTAATTGAATGGCTCTTTAAACATTGGCACTCAGGAAAATAAATATTGGACCATCAATACTTTGTACAGCTGCTAAGTCGTACTCATCGAGGAAGTTCCTCCTGTCATCATTATTTGTCTTGTAAATATACAATATATTTATGTAAATGTAGATATTGTATACTCCGCGTTGACCAAGATGGAGGATTGATCACCTGTTTTAAGGTTAATTTTATTTGGGTACACAGTGGGATAGAATCTTTGATGATTTTATGATGCTTAAAAGTTCCTCAACTATATTACTGGACTAGCCATAAAAGGAGAGTTTTTCAAGTAATAAGATTTGTCTTTATTTTGTGTTTTAAATATATGTTAAGAATGTTGTTATATTTAATTACTGAGATAAGCTTTTAAAAAGTAGATTAGTAAAACGTTAATAGCTCATATCAATTTTTATTACATATTAACTTTTTAATTGAATAGTTTTTTTTTTTATCGATATTTTCAATTTATACCTTTAATGATACTTTTTCTGAATAATAAATAAAAATATTACTAATCACTCTGCATTTAATAATTATTCCAAGGTAATTTTACTTTTAATATAATAATATATAAATGTAGAGATGGAGATTGTGTAATTGTCTATTCAAAAACCCATGGCACTATTTCTTAATGTGGGCGCAACATGTTAACAGGACAAGGTCCTGGAGCAAATATCATGATGTAAGGTTTTGCATGGCTGCTATATTGAATATCGTTTAGTATGCATGACCCATGTACGCCTCTTCTTTCATCAGAGTATATGGTTGTTATTTGATAAGGTCACTTCAATTGCAAACAAATTCGTCTTGATAGCACAATAAACTGTTAATTTTTTCCACGTTCTAAACAACAAGCTAAAATGAACTCTTCAAATTTTTTCACTTTTTTTTTCAACTGACATAATCTGTTGTTGCAATATTCATGTATAGTTAATTAGGAATAGATATTGGATAACTGCTACTTCTTTCATGAACTACAAATGAATGCATATTTGAATTAGTGTTGGTTAGCCATCATAATATATATAGTTCATGGAATTTGTAGTGACATGGTGATACTCGAAGAACGAAGACACTACTCTCGTAAGATAGATTTTAGGCATCACCTAATACAAGGGAAACCTCAAGTTGTTTTAGTGTCCCCCTTCATACAGTATTGAGGTTTTAATCAGGTGGTGCCTAGAATATGCTTTAAACAGAGAGACTAAACTGAAGTTCATTTAACATAACCAGATGACATAGTATTAAAGATGTTTCTGTTTCAAAGTAGTTAGTAATATTTGGACTTCAATCAAATTGATATCAACCTCAAGGATTTTTGTCCATTTCTGTAATCTTAATGATTACTTGATGCCTCGATTTAATATTTTGCGATCTGCCTCAAGATTTAAACAACGAGCTTTATGTCTAATGACATTGCACTACATATGCATTTCTTCCAGTTTTCTTTTTTCTTTTTTGGTACAAAACTCTAATTTTTTAATAAGAAATTTAACATGGTGTTCAATGCAACATCCATCTATGGCTGTGTAACCAAAAATCATGCGAAGGGTGTACCATATTAAAGGAAAACCAACGGTTATTTTACCACAAATGGCCTATACAGTCACTGTATGTTGACAACCTTGAAAATGTAAAATGTCATACTCAAATGCACACAACCAAAAGAAACTATGGTTGAAGAAAAAGTGTGTAAGAAAAAGAAAATAGGGGACACTCAAAATACACATTTACCAATTCAAATGTCCCATAATCTCTTTCTCCTAGTCCTTTTGACCAACTTGAGGAGAAAACGAGGAATGATCTTCTTAAATCTCCTGAGAACACTCTTCACACATCCTCTAATGGAAACATACAAAGGGAACTGCACCATTGCAAATATGCAGACAGGGAAGAAGGCTGCACTATACGTCAAACTTGAAGTCCATTTGTTCTTCTCTAACTTGATGTTGATCAAAACAGTTGCACTGAATGCTAGCATTGTTGTGGCCATGGAGAAGAACAACAAGGCAAAACCTGTCATTAGTTTCCGAGGGAGAGACTTCCTAAAATCCCACATCTCACAGGGTGATGTGAGGATTGAAAGGAACATAACCACTGAAGCCAACGAACTTGCGAGAGCCACAACATCCATGACTGTGAACACTAAGAATATGGGGTGATGAAGAAATCTAGGGAGGCCATCATTATCTGTGCCCCCAGGGACAGTGTATGCTGCTGCAAAGACAACAGTGGCAACAAGAACAGCTACTGCAGAACATGACTGAGCTGTCTCTTTTATCCATTCTCTTGCATCCTTGAGCAATTGCTCATGCTTTTCCATAAAAAGTTGCTTTGCCGTTTGGTTGTTGTTGTTCTTGTGAATAGTGTAGTGATAAGGGAGCCTCTTTTCTATCCGCTATTTATATTCACAAATATATAACTGAGAATTAGATACTAGGCATCTGTTAGAGATGCACAACTAGATATACACAACTAGGCATCTTAGATTGAATGCAATGATTAATTTATTCCTTAATTTCATAAAATCTTTAGTTTATCATATGACTTTCTAAAATATCATTTACTTAATTTAATCTTTTTTACTATAGTTGTCAGTATTTAATAATGTAAAATGAATAAAGTAAGAATTTTGTAACAATAAATACTTTTTGAATACGCTCTCTATATTTGGCTAAATTTATAGAGAATTATTCATAATTTTTTGATAAATTTCAATTAATAATAAAAAGGGTGTTAAGAAAAACATTAAAAATGTGTGGCTAGTACTACTCTTTACAATATTAAATACTAAGTGTGAGTTTAGTGTTATTTTTATTTTTCTCTTCCATATATTTACTTTTGCTATATGCTTAGAATGTGAATGCACACATTGAAGTGGGAACTAGGAGTAAACTATTAGTGAATGTAACTTTTCATTATAATATAATTAAAACGATACTTACATCAAACCAATGCAACTCCTCTTGCAGTTGTAGAGCATAACCGGGTTGGGATCCCCCTTGAAACTCTGCAGTGTAGTGTAGGACAGTGTTACTTTCCTTGTCAATTTTTCCAGCAAGACTTCTCACCATTTTCAATTTCTTTAAGATTTGGTAAATTTTTATCTGGCGATGTTTGACAGCCATGTACAGTATGTTCTGCTCATCTTCACTTACATGCTCAATTGCATGAGGATGGAAATGAATTATTACTTCAACAATCTCAGTAATTCCATTACAAGCAGCCATAAGCAAGGGGGTATATATAATAGTTTTTCTTGCAGCCTCTTGTTTCTTTTGTTTATCTTCTTCCTCTTGTATCTCTTTGTTCTTTCCTTCAGTTTCTTTGGGTAGAAGATGTGATCTCCCCATGGAAACTGTTCTATCCCTTGCTATAGAAGTATTTTGCCACGTATTGTCTTTCTTTGCTAGCAAGTCTACAAGTTCCTTTGCTAAATTATGCATTTCCTTTTTCCTCCAAAGTTTATCAATCTCCTTCCATTCTGAACATGAACAGAATATTCAAGTAACCAATAATAGAAGTATTTTTGTTTGAAGAAATGTATCATGAACAATCATTACAGCTTGTACCTTTGGCCATAATCGTCCACATAATATACCACATCCTTGAGAAAACTGCATTTTTTTAACATTTTAGATATGGTTAGATGCACATGCACAAAATATTACATATAAATTAATTCAATTTTAAGGTTTGAGTTAAAATATCTAAAAGTGATAATCTTTATTAGAAAAAAAAATCATTCGTTACATTAAAGTTCTAAAAACACAATAAATACTTTTTTTTTAATAAAATTACATTATTATTGATTTCTTAGACTTAGTCTTAAGAGGTGAAGTTAACCTCTTCTAAAAATTAATTCTAAATGAATATCTCATGATACGATAAATGACAATTGATATAGCATGATACTAGATATAACTAGAACAATCATGATTTTAATTATAACTTAAGTTACAAACTATAAATTATCTATATTGGTTTGTTTTAAATTTAATTGAAAAATAAAGATAAAATCAACAAAAAGGTGATCAACTATCCTTTGAAGTTTCTAACTAACCAGTAAAATGTTAGTGTGTTAGTTGGTGAAAATAATGGAAGAAAACACTAGTTAAGTCTGATTTGATTAAAGGTTTGTTTTTGTATGTGAATTTTTAATTTAGTTACATGCAATGAATATATAAGATATTGTCTCTTTTATCATGTTTCTTTGTATGTTTTATATAGTTTATTAATACTACTTAAAATAACTTTTAAGTCATTAAAAAAAAAATTTATGAAAAAAAACATTTACTAAGCTTTAATATCTTTTTAAAAAGCTGACATTTTTAATTGTTTAAAATCCAATCCTAAAGTTTGATATTAATTAAAATTGTTAGTTATATTTTAACCTGTAAACGCATACCTGAGGGCTTCCTTTGAGTTGGGGGTCGTTCCTTTCTGGCCTTTTTGCCACTTTCCATATCTTCCTCTTTTTTATCGTCATCCTTATTTTGATAGAAGTAGATTTTATCTTGAAAATCGGGAAGCACTGTGCGACGACAATGTAATATTAGCTTAACTTGTACAACTTTTTTTTTTCTATCAGCAAAGAAAATTTATTAAAGGGGGAAAAAGAAATATATATAAGAAAATAATTTTTTATTATCTTTACTTGTTATATACCTTATTCGATTTTTTATAATAAATATTTTTTTTAATTATAAGATATACACTATCTTTTCTAGATGTACTGGTCGTTCATTATATATATATTATTATTATAATATTTGTGTTAAAGGGTCACTCATTGTTATATAAAATGGTTGTATTCATAAATAATAACTTAAAATATGTTTTTTTAGTCATTCTCCCAATCCTCTTACACTTAATAGCAATAATCACAATTTAAAACCTTGTTAGAACATGTGATTCACCCAACTATACAAGCTTACTTTTAAAGTGTTGTCATCCCTAATGAAATTGATGTGTTTTATGAGTATATGTGCATGCTTGTTCTTCAAAACCTAAAACCAGAGATAAAGTTGGCAGAGATGTACAAAGGTATATGAAATTTCTGAAAGGTCCCATTTGGGTTTGACTCTTAAAAGTAGAGGGCATTTTCGCTAGCAATTGCAGAGTTGTGAGTCCGTTGTCTTCCCTTTCATAAGCGAGGTCCTCGTACCGTTTCAATAACCATAGAGCTGTGCCTGCGTGGAAATTAAGAAAACGCAATAAGAAAAAGACAAAGAAGAACCCTATTTCTGCAAGATTTTCCAACTATAAATTACTACCTATACATTTTGGTTCATACGAATTTTAACGTCCCATGTATACACTAGGTATATACAAGCATATGAAGCTACAACTATAATCATTTTTTATTATGAGGATAATAAATATTAACCATTAAACTTTATTCTTCGTTATACATGAATAACTGCTGCTTCATTTCATATTATATGTCTATTTAATATTTTTAGTTTGTTTAAAAATGTCACTGTAAAAAACTAAAAAAAATCATTAATTAATTTTCCCGACAATTTTCTCATTTATTGATATCTTCTAAATATTTAAATAGATTGACAACTATAATTCTAACCCTTCTAAAAAGAGAATTTTTATTAAAAAAAAGAGTATCATAATAATTTACATATGTAATTAATGGTCTTATACGAGACATGCAGAAACATTTTTGTTTTGTTATTCTTACTAACAAGTAAAAACAATTTTAATATATACAGTTTTTTGTGAGAATACAGAGACTAGGCATGGTATTCATATATATAGAAGAGAGTGAAGCATGTGTGCAAGTGGATGCATGATTTTGGAGAGAGAGAGAGAGAGAGAGAGAGAGAGACCAAAGAATTGATCAATGACAGTAGTGTGAAGAATGGACATGCTATCACCCTTTCGGTGAAAATGGATATAAGGGTCAACAGCAAGGTCGTCAAGGAAGAACTTAAGCAATTTGGTTTTTCCAAGCGCAGCAGCTCTATACACAGGTGTTTCTCCCAATTTGTTTCTTATTTCAAGCAAAGGTTGAAACTCATGTGGCCCTGTAGCCTCATCCATATCCAATATGCTCCTAGTCATTTCCACTTCTCCTACGAAGGCCACCTCGTGAAGTGGTGTGTTGTCCATGTCATCTTGCAACCTTAACACACGATTGATGTCAGTCTCCTTCGCCATTTGAAGCATTTCCTTGTACATTTTGGGGTCCCCACAGTGAGCTGCGTAGTGAAAAGGAGTGCTTTGATGCAAGTCAATTTGCTTATCTAACAGATCTCTGTGCCTACGAAAAAAGTCCCCGAAGCCTTTCCAATCGGTTCTCTTTGCCAATATGTAAGGCTTTTTCATTTTTTCATTAATCATCCCTACTTGCCTTGTCATCTCTTTCTCACTAGCTAGCTAGTTCGTTCTAGCTCGCTCTATTAACTGATCAATCATTCAGATATATAGTGACCATGGAATTCTTGGTTACAATTAATTTATGTCTCATTGTATCATGAGAAAGGAATCATTCACAACACAGAAAAATAATATTTTGAGCATATATGCCTTGCTTGATTAAATAAAAGTGCATTAGAGCCATCTAGAATAAATAAAGTAAGAGGTTTTCTTTTACTTTGGAACATTATTTATTCCTTATCTGTCAATACTCACATCTAGAGGGGAACATACACCGTATACCTTCTAGAACTATCACAATGTTACAAACGAATATATCTTGATGCACCCTCCTGGTCTTCATGGATGTATAATTCAATCCTACACACACTGCTAGAAATATATGAATTACGAGTTTTACTTGTGTTTTCTATTTCACGATTATTTGATGCATTTTTTATTTTTATTTTTTGTGAATTGTTGTTTATGCAAAACCATTCCTTGCCAAATGCTGAGGTGAGCTTTTCTGATGAACAAAATAAGTTGTAAATTAAGTTGAAGTTCTCGGAATGAAAAAATTGTTCGAAAATTTGCATGTAAAAGCTTAGTGCTAAGCTTGTCAATAATGTCTTTCAGTAACGTTTCACAAGTTGTAATGCTAAGCTTGGTTTTGCGTTAATATTAACTATACACACGTTTTTTACGCGTAAACTACTGACAATACACACGTTTTTCTCTCTCACCAATGACCAATCGCACCACCCACTACACGACTAACACACACCGCATGTTAACGAACACAGCACCTGATAGGCTGATACCACCACTCTTTAGTCACTCACATGCACCATACCCACAACACACACACTTGCACCCTATCATTCTTTCCATAAATATATCTAAATATATTATACATTATTAAACATAATTAAAAATAATAATATACATACACTTGTAAACATAAACATTTAATTTATTATTCCTTCCAATTAGTAAATACAAGCACAATATAATCAAATAAAGCTATAATAATTTTCATATATAGACCAAGCAAAATTTTATAAAGTTAAATATATAATTAAAATTATAATAAACTTTAAAATTTTATAAAATTCTTTCTATCGTCACCTTACCATGGGTTGGCTTGAACTTTTTGTCACTGAACTAACTTTTTTTTATCTCTATTTTGAAATTCTCTCATTTCGTTCTCATCTCTTTCTCCAAGTTGGATGCTAACGAAATCTTATTTATGGGGAAATTTTGTTTTCTAGCTTCATAATGCAATGATGACATGAGTATGTTGCATCATCGTGCTTATGTCATCTAAATATTCTGTATATTTATATCTGCTACATTATTTTACGTATATTTATATTTAATTAATTTTTCTTATGATAGATATGTACAAATTATTAGAAATTTATTTGTGAGACTAATTAATTAAATATAATATAAATATAATTTTTTTTATATTTTTGAATAATAAATCAAATATTTGTTGTAATAAATACAATTATTAATTTGTTTGTATTGATCAATATGTCATACAAATTATTAGACTAATTAAAAATTTGTGTTTATCTAAAAATATATTATTTTTCATTAAAATATTTTTTATTTTATTTTTCTAGTTTAATATGACTGGTGATATGCTATCTAATAAAAAAATGTCAAGGCCGAGGAGAGAACTCCGTGGAGTGCTCATATTCAATTAATTGAGGTAGGACATTAGGAAGGGGCATTATATTGTAAAATAATTAGGAAAACAAAAAAAGGCATTGGAAAATGAATTTAAACAACTTGTAAAATATAATGTTTAATTATTTAAGTTTCATATATTTTTAGCATAAAAAATTATATTGTCAAATAATTAAATTATATAAAAATATAATTTTAAATTAAATATTAAAAATCAATAATTTTTTATTGATATGATAATAATTGGATAATAATGTTTTTTAATTTTAATTTTTTTAAAATTAAAAATATTAATTTAATTATTAGATGCTAAAATAAAAAGATGAAAAATAAGGTCATCTACTTAATTTAATTAAAATTAAATCGTTGAACATGGATCAGCCCAAAACCCACTGACCCGAATACTCATCCCCGACCCGAAACCACTTTCTTCCCTGCTACCCCAACCCAACCAAAACACGAGTAACAATGAACAAAATCGGAAACAAAATCAGAATTCGATAGCAGCAAGAAGTCTAACCCAAATAGGTTCTTCTCGAAGATCTCCACAATTTATATTTTTCTAGAAACATTCCATCGAATTTTGTTTATGTTACGTACGAGTTTGTAAATTGCTGCAGATGCTAGCGCCCCTGAACCCTATCACAAAAAACACTAGAGTTCCTTTGCGAATTTCGGCTCTTTCAATTTGAAATTGAGGGGTAGACGGTAATTTCACTTTTATATTCGTCATCTGTGTTTATTCATATGCACTGCTTTGAACTGCTTGTTGATAGTTATAAAAAAGGTTGTAGTAATAATTGTTTGAAATCTGGGTCGTGGGAAATTTGGTTCTCTTAATTTCTGATTTTCGACAAAATTTTTATTGAAATGCCCTATAATTAGCTCAATGATTAATTTGATTCTCTTTCGTTCACTCATTGTGTTACAGTTTTAAAATATGGATTTTCTCATAAATTAGATTTGGTGTCAGTTTAATATGTTTTACTACAAAATGGCTGTAAATGCTCTTTTATGTGTAGCTGTGCATCATGGAAGACTGGACTTGTGCTGAAATTCTCTTTTTCTTCTATGTTTTGGGTTTATGTTAACTGTCTCTACTCTTTGGTACTTTAGTGAAATAGTAAATGTGAATTGAATTATGGAAATGTAAAATAAATAGAGATTGGCGTGGCTAACAAGTAGAATCCATTGCTGACTACACATTTGTTCTTAGTCTTCCTTTATGATTATTTTAGATTGATTGAACGGATGAAACTGTATCATTTTGTTTATTAGACAGTTCTAGTTATGTGAACCGCACCAGTTTTGACTTGTGCAGGTTTACATGAAGATGAAGATTATTGATTTTATTTGGAATCAGTTTTTATGTGCTTTGTTAATTTTCTGATTGAGAAGACTTTGTTTTGTTCTCAATTTTTCCTGACTGTGTATCTTCATGATTGGATCTGACTCTGAGATAGGAAATATGTTGTTCTCAAACAACTAAACTAGGAAATAGGAAATGTCTTCATAATTTAACGTGTGAAAATATATCCCAAGACTCAAACAACTAAACCTTGATTTCTCAATTTATCAAAAATATATCCTCAGTTATAAACAAGAAATTTCCAATTTGTAGTACCATGTAAATGAAAATCATAAATATCATCCTGCAGCATTTGAATTATATGCTTAATTGCTATTCTTCAAATCTTTCAAAAAAAAAGTAGGTCTTCACTTCAAAACCTGTGGTCTTATTTCATCATTTCTAATAATTTTTTGTAACTTGTGAATAGCTGTCAATGTCATCACTTCGAATATAAATTTAAGGAATATTTAAGAAAGTTTTTTGATAAGTATAGGTTTTCTTAAAATAAATGTCCAAGATTTTTTGAAATTGTATGAGAATCTTTCAGTTGATCTTACATGGAATTAGTTCCATTGGACATTCTAGAAATATTTAAGAAGATATCCAACTTACCTGAGTTTTAATTTAAGATTCTATTCAGTTCCATTTATTCTGCGTGGTAACTTTAAGAAATTCTGGTGCAAAACAATCAAGGAATTTAATGAGTCAATAATAGCAAAATGAAGGACCAGTATTCATGTTTTTAATTTTATTCTGCTTGTGTTAATGAATTACCACCTGCCAAGATCTTTAACAGTTCAGCTCTACTACAATTTCAATTTGGAGTATCACGAAAAATGGAATTGAAAGCAGATCTATTACATATATATATTCTATAGCTAGGAGTCTATACCATATGTGACTGTATTTAAAATTGTTCCAAACTTCCAACATTTTGGAATTGAATAGATAATTCATTTATTTATTGAATCATTGCAACACTTCCGTTCTTTGAGTTTTTTGGCTTTTCTTTCATGAGAGTTGAACTTTTTAGGGAAAAGCACAGGTTAATAACCATTGATTGAAAAAGTCAATGAGATTGCGATAAAATGCATGCATATATATATATATATATATATAACAAACCACAAAAATGTTAAAATTTCCTCCATTGACTTTCCAATCAGCTGTTATAAGTATAACTATGCATTTTTCTCCCTAAACCCTTCATTTTAGAGGAGCCAAATTCTCTGTTTTTTATACTGATTTTTCGCAGTTATGACAGTGAGTGGCCTGTGTGAAGGCTCTAAACTGACTTCTAAACCTATGGTCTATAATTGACTTATTGTTCTAAGATAGAGTTTGCATAAGAATTTTTTGTTATCAAATATATTGTTGATTATATTGTTATTTAAATGTCCAAAACTTGAAATTGGGCATATTATCGTATCTTTATTGTTTATGAATTTGTTTAGAGTGAAGTGATAGATTTTTCTATACGCAGCACAAACTTCTGTTGACTAGAAGAACCTCAACGTTCAACAACCTGCCAATTAACTGTAATTCTTTTCATCTCTTGCCCTTTGTAGTGTTAAAGTTTATTGTTCAGTTCTTTCTCAGCACCCATCACCATCAGGTCTAAATCTAATGTGGCCCTTTTTATTGGGGTCGAGGGTCTTACATCATTTTGGGTTAAAAATTTTAGGAGCAAAGAACTGAAGAAGAGATATGGCTACAAGACGCGTTCATTACACTCCTCTTGCTACAGATGAGGATGATAATATTGGTAACAGTAATAGACCTTTTGACCCCAGATTTGATTATACCCCGAAAGCCTTGGATAAAGTTCCCTGGAAATCCATTGCCCTTGCACTCTTCCTGTTATTCCTTGGAACTGGACTTCTGTTTCTTTCATACTTTATCTTCACCGGTCATATGGGAGGAGAACAGTCTCAAGCGTATGGTCTTTTAGCCCTAGGCTTTCTTAGCTTTCTCCCAGGTATGTTGGATTCTCTAAATTTCATGTGTATGGTAAGTACTCTAGTTTAATTATTATAAACAAGGAAATTAGTTGTTTTTGACAACTCTTTGAGACTGCTGATATGCTTTTGGACGACTTTGTTGATAGTTATGCTTTAAGAGCTACTAAGAATTAATGATATTTTCCGCTCCAACTGCTTTTACTCTACTATCGGAACCACAACAGTATGTCAGTTTTGGCCCCTGTTCAAATGAATTTGGTCAAATTGGGGGTAGCGGGTGCACTTCACGATTAGAAGAAAAGTAATTCTTCATAAACCATAGACTACAGATGTAACCTCCTTGTGTATCAACCTTAACAGTGAATCATGAAAAAAATGTTCCAAATAAATGGGACACTCCAATTCTCACCAAGAACTGTAAATAATTGTTCTTTAGAAAAGTTGCCACTTTACATTGAAAGAGTAAGTTACATGCTATTTCCTTACTAGAATTGCAAATAATGTGAGCCATACAACTGTTGATCCATATCACACACGTCCTCATTTCCTATCTCACCGCTTAAAATATGCCACCTAGACATTGAAGTGTTATTAGTAGTAACAAAATTTAATCAACTAACACATTAATGTTTATTTTATTGATGGGAGAGGACAAGAAATGGGCATCAAATGGGGCCAATTGATCTCCATCCCTATGATAATGGTTCCAATTATGAATTCATGATTCTGTCGATGATATTTATATGTGGAATGATACTGCTTACCGTCACTTTTTACCTATTTTATTTCTTCTAGAGCTTTAAATGTCTTAACTACTTTTTGTTCATAGATGCAACTTCAGTGATAGAAAATAAATTTTAGTTTGTATTTACCTTGACTATAGATATTAACTTATCTGTCGTGTGGATAAACATGCAACATAATTTTATTGATTTCTGTATACAGGATTTTATGAGACTCGAATTGCATATTATGCATGGCGGGGTGCCAAAGGATACCGCTTTTCTGCCATCCCCGACTATTAGAGCATTAGTGCTATACCTTGAGAACTCTCAGTCATGATCAAATTTGGTTGCTTCTTGTATGCGTCGGCATAGATGGAATAAATTGTAGAAAACTGTAATCATGTTTGTTACATAAGTAGTTGGTTAAGTAACAAAATTTAGGAAATTAATGTTTTGAAGTTTTAAAGGTTAGAAAACAACTTTAAAATGTGCCATGAAATTATTCTATTAGGCAACAGCACTGCCTATTTGCCTGTTTTGTGCCCTTAAACGGAACCCATTTCAATGAGGTGGGGTCAGGTTTGTGAAGGATAGTCTTTGGGACTAACCCTCGTTCTACATTTTCATGGTTTTATAAAGAATATCTCAGGTTCACTGTTATTATCTTCTGGGCCCCCAAAACTTCTTTCCTGTTGTTTGGGTTGAATTCGTTTTCAAGTAAATGCAATTAACAAAGGTAAAAGCGGATTTGGTGGCAAATTTTGTACGCGACTTCTGCTTGAAGATAAAAATGGCATCTTTGAATGAAGATGTAATTTTTTAAATATATGATAATGTGAAGAGATTACAGAACTATATAGACTTTGCGTCTGCTCGGAGATCCTTCTCATGTGCAGCTGATTTACAATCCTTGGAATAATTAAAAGTTATAGCCCCATTGAACTGGTCAAGAAATATCCAAGTTTCGTTATCAAGAGTGAATTTTTTAAAACAACACTCCCTTTTCAATTTGCGGTTTCGTTTTCTTATTATAACAATCACTTTCAATCAGCCTTTGATTAGAATAAATAAATAAATCAATACTGTCGAAGGCATGGATGAGTAACGAATGTGTGGCGATGCCATTTTGGTAGGGGATAAGGTTAGCCGGGAGCATTATGATAATAATATTTGTAATCGTTATGATATTAATTTTTGTGATGGGCCTACACGGCACACAATAATATTTCGTTTTTTAGTCCATGCTGCTTATTCTCTTCAGGGTAGAACAAGAGGCTGACAAAAAAAAAAAAAGAGAGCAGAGAACAAGAGAACTAGAAGTAATCGTAGAGGAAAAATCAGAAAGATTAAAAAAAATGTCATTTTCAAAGTTAAGCAGAAGATTAACATGAAGAAAAAATCAATTGGATACGTCTATTGTCAGTTAACAAATTTCTAAGACAGTATAATATGGTTATTAAATACATGGAAAATGCAAATTTGCCTTTGCGTAGTACCGTCTTAATGATCACTACAACCCTCCATCCATACAGAGACAAATCCAATTTATTTTATATATTTGTCTTCAGCTAAACCATGAAAACATAGCCTTGTCATATAACTGGCTGGATAGCTCGTTATATTAATATTAGCATCAGAGGAAACAATTCAGATTTTATCCTCGACACGTGCAGATTCAGAGTTAAGTACAATAAGTTAACCATATGATTTTCGAATTTTTAAGATTTACTTTGCTATGCTATTCTCATCCAACTATAGGATTCGGATATGAAAGAATTTGCAATCATCAATTTAATAATGAGAATTAGAACAATCTTTGGTTTTCTTTTTCTCCTTCAAATTATCGGTTTTGTGAAATGAGGAGTCATTTGAAAAATAAAACATTCATTTTATTATTATTAAGTTCTTTTAGAGTAAAATAAGTAGGGGGAAAAAAGGAAAGAAAATAAGAGGAAGATATCTAAAATTTTAATTGCAGACGTTCTGAGTAAAATTAATTGATGGATATATATATATATATATATATATATATATATATATATATATATATATGTGTGTGTGTGTGTGTGTGTGTATGTATGTATATTAAAGCAAACAATTTTACTTATTATTATATTCATTTTATTTTACAAAATCTATTAAGCATATGAGTTTACCTATATAAAAATGTGTAATATGGTATTTTCGTGATTTTAAGCGTAGAAAGTTATCGTCGTCCTTTGTGCCATTAGTATTAAGATGACTCATTCCATAATATCAATAAAAATTGAGTTATTAGCGTGAAAAACTAAATAAATAAAATTGTGTTTCTTTCATTAACACAGGTATGACATCGACTTTTTTTTAACGAAATGAAAAAAAAAAAAAAAAGACTTACAAATGCTCCATATAAGCGAAGTCATTTAAAATAAAATAAAGGTGATATAGGGATTTATTCTTCGATAATTTTGTAAAGAAAAATGAACATAATTAGGTCTATTCATAAATTGAAATTTACTGGCGTCAAAACGAAGACTAACATTGATTCTGATCTTTGAAAAACTAAGTTAACATTATTTTAGCCTTTAAAATTAAGTAACATCAATTTTGTCTTTTAATAATGAACAGTGACGTTAAAATATTTTTTCTGCATACACTTTACCAGATAACAAATCAAAAGATAATGTTAATTTTATCATTAAAAAATTAAAATTTGTTTGTTTAAGTTTTTAGATATTTTTAAGAATATATACAAATAAGTTTTTTTTTATATTGTATACACTGTAAAGGTTTTTTAATTTTATTGTCATAAAAAATAATTTGTATTTTAAAATATAACTATAACTCTTAATAAATATATTCAAAACAGTTTTCCAAATTAATTAAAAATAATTTTTTTGAAAAATTGACATCCTCATTAAAAAGAAGTACCATACCAACCTCTTGTCATACTAAAAATAAAAACGTTATATTTAGAAAACGCTTCAAAGTTGATATCTTAAAACAAAGACAACCTTAAAATTACTTAACGAAGAATATGAATGAGTTAAAAGCTATTAGCGGCTGAAGTATCTGACAAACGATGTCGTGACAAGTAGCACAAAAAATAAAAACAAAAGAAACACTTTTATTCTAATGATGTTTTTATTTTTATATACATTTATTCTTATAGCCCTCACCACTCCGGAGTTGCTTCTATTTTAATCTTAGATTTTATAAAATGTAACCGACCAATTTATCCGAAACCTAATAAAACTGTGGCTGAAAGTGATAAGGTGGAACTTCATTCAGAATTATTTTAATAATTATCGTTATTGATCAAATCATCATAACGTTCAAATAATGGAGCACCATAATTCTTTTCTCAATCATTGGTTTTACCAAACCAGATAGATGCAAGCCACGCGTTCACTTATCATTGATAGGTTACTTTTTCCTTCTATATAAAATGTTTATTGGTATATATTAAAATGGAATAAAATTAATATAGATATGAATTTACGTTTTTTTTTTAACTGATCTAAATATTGTTTCTCTTTCTTTATAAAACAAAAATATGTGAATTGATTCTCATCGTTAATTCATAAAAAATAGACACGAAAGATGACTAATAAATTAACTTGTGTTATTTTTTATTTAATTTAATTTAAATTTAATTCAAGTCGTGTACTTAGATGTAATAAATAAATTAACCACTAAAATTTTTTATATACATAAAAATTTAAATCTTAAACTTTTTTTAAACAATATTAAATTACTTATTATTCAGATCAGCTTATATTAATAATACTTTTAAATTTATATATTAAATATATTAACTCTCCTGTATAAAAATATACATTATAACTTTATAGTACTAATCATTTATAAAATTATTGTCTATGTGTCTATATATAAAAACAAACTTCTATCTCCAATCTTTAATTATAAAATTAATATATAATTTTGACTTAAGTTTAACTATTTTTTTCTTTCTCTTAAATTTATATATATATATATATATATATATAATTTAATTATCATGCATATAAATATAAATAAGTATTAATAAAATATTATATTAAAATTATAATATAAAATATAAAATATAAAATATTTATTTATAATTTTTAATAAATTTTTATTTAAATTTTATGTGAGAGAGAATATAAATATTTGAATTTTTTTTATATATAATTAATATATTTATTAAGCTGTAAAGTTAACTTCATGACTATTATAAAAAATAAATTTTAAATTATGAATATAATTTTAGTATCTTATCGCATAGTTTTTTTTATATCATCAACAAATTAAAATATATAGCAGATATGTTTCTTAAAATAATTACTATAAAAATTAATTATTTTTACTGATATGATAATTTGTAATTAAATAATAATATAACAATAAATTATTCTGTCAATATATTTTAATTAAATTATAATTTACGATTAAATATTTTTTAAATTTAATTAAAAATAATTTTTATATTTTTAATAATAATTTTATCTATTAATTATTATAAATAAATTTAAATTGATCAATTTGGGCATAGCGAGGAAATTAAATCTAGTGTTTATTATTTTTCATAATTTTACTTATAAATTTTATTATTTTTTAAATATAGCCATTATTCTAAAAATTTAAAATATCAAATCAAAACTCTTATTTTAATGTGTTTATAAATTTATTTTTTCAATTTAATTTTAATATATTATCATTGTAATATCAATAATTTAAAGATCATTAGATATAACACTTAAAGTGTTTATTACAAAAATTAACTATTTTGAACGATGTAATAATTTATAATTTTATGATAATGTAAACGGCTAAATTGTCAATATATTTTAAATAATTTTTTTTAAGTTATTTGAAAGTTATTTTTATTTATCATACTTTTAATTTTATATAATTTTAACATTTTATATTAAACAAATTTTTAATTAAAAATTGTACAATAATTGATAAAAAATGAGAGTTTAATTTCAACTTTTAAACTAACTAAAATATGTGATAAATTTGACAGTTTAAATGTAGCGTAGTATTAAATGTTTTTATTGATTTTAAATGTAGAGTAGTATTAAATTTTTTATTGATTTAAAAAAATTATTTTATCAATTTAAATTTGACAATTTTATTGTATAAATTATATTTATTATTACGTTTCTAAATTATACATTTAATTTTTTTTATTAAATATCATTAAAGTATAGTTATTATTTAATCATTAATCTTTTGTTAATTTTTTTTTCGTGACATTTTTTCGTTGATGATGAATCTATTGCAAAACAAGTCAACGTTTTATTAAATGTAAACTCAAATATTAAATGCATTTAATGATTTAAAAGTAGTAAATAAAAATATTAATTATTGCAGTATAATAATATTTTGAAGTTAATGCAATTCATATTTAAAATTATCTAATATGAAAATATTTTAATCACTTATAAAAAGAAAGTAATAAATGCTTTAATTTTAATATAATAAATATTATTTTATTTTTAAGCTAATAATTTAAGGATACTATTCATGAACTTGCACTGATCCATGCACGAGGTCAAAGCAACGAAATTTCTGTGCTCAAAGAGTCAAACGCTCTTGAACATTACTTTTTCATCATTTTTGCGTATTTTTTTTATTCTTGATATTTTTCAGAATTAAATAAGCCAAAAAAAGGGGGAAAAAACTTGAAGAAGAAAATTCAAAATTGTCTACCCCTTTACCTGGAAGGATCCAAATTTTGGGAGACACAAAAACAAACCAAAAGATCTCTTTTTCTCTGCAACTTCTTATCCGTGTCATCATCAAAATCGTCATTTTATTTATTTTAATGAGTTTTTATTTTTTAAAAAGAAAAAACTAAGGGTATTCTTTATTTTTTAAAAAGCAAATAATCTCCAATTGTTATTACTTGACCAGCACGTTCCTTTTTTTTATCCCATTTTTCTTTTTATGAATAAAAGATATTCCATTTTCTCTGCGAAAATCAAAACACCGATGATTTTGAAAGACGACGGGTCAGAATCATGTGAGCTTTTGGCCAATATGGAGAGAGATATCAACTTTCCATATTTGGGGGAGAAGCTAACAACCTTTTCTGTGGGTATGTTATGGTGTTTCCACTTTCTGCTTTGTTATTGTGGTTTGAGCATTTGAATGAATCTGCAAAAAAGGTTTCAACTTTGGGTATTTGATTCATCGTCAACTGTAGCTGGTGGAGTGCAGGTAAGGTTGCGAGTTTTGATTTGCATGCAGGAGCGTTTGTGAATTGAATTGGATAAAAGGGTATCCTTTGTTTGGGAATTATTGATTGGCGTTAACTCGGATTGATGAAACCTAGCTAGAAAGGAAAAAGGGGGAGAAAAAGGAAGCTTTTTTTAAAAAAAATAATTTAATGAAGTAGTTTGCTGAGGTTTTAATTGAGAAAAAGTGAAAGGGTTTTTGTGAATATACATAAAGGGGTTTTTGAAGATTCGCTTTGTTTTGAGATTTGTGATTCGGGTTGGAGCTTGCTTGATGGAGGAAGCTCAGGGCAGTTCCAGTTCCTTGCCTCCTTTCCTCACAAAGACTTACGAAATGGTGGACGATCCTACCACCAATTCCATTGTCTCTTGGAGTGCCTCCAATAAAAGTTTCATTGTTTGGAACCCACCAGAATTTTCAAGGGATTTGTTACCCAGATTCTTTAAGCACAATAACTTCTCAAGTTTTATCAGACAGCTAAACACTTATGTAAGCAAATTCAACCTTCTTCATGTTTCATTGATAATTTGTTTTGTTTGTTATTGTTTTTCCTTTCCCCTTATTTCCCTATAGAGGGTTTTAATTGCTTGGACTGTGGCCTTGGTGTTGTTTGATCAGGGGTTTAGAAAGATTGACCCTGAACAATGGGAATTTGCAAATGATGATTTTATAAGAGGTCAACCACATCTCTTGAAGAATATTCATAGGCGCAAACCTGTTCATAGCCATTCTTTGCAGAATCTTCAAGGTCAAGGGGCTGTGCCTCTTACGGAATCAGAACGGCAGAGTTTCAAAGATGAGATAGAGAGGCTTAAACATGAGAAAGAACGACTTCTTCTGGAGTTGCAGAGTCATGAACAGGAGGGGAAAATGTATGAGATACAATTACAATGCTCAAAGGATCGTTTGGAAAAGTTGGAAAATAAGCAACAACATATGCTTTCTTCTGTTTCTCAAATGTTGCAAAAACCTGGGATTGCCTTGAATCTCTTGCAACTGACTGAAAGCATGGATAGAAAACGAAGGTTGCCAAGAGGTGGTCTCTTTGGTGACGATGCTAGCATTGAAGATCATATGGAAACTTCGCAAATATTACCAAGAGAAAATGAAGAGAGTGCCTCAACTTTCACATTAAGCGTGGAGCGATTGGATCTGCTTGAGTCATCCATGGTGTTTTGGGAGAATATTGCTCATGAAGTTGGTGGTGATACCTTTGTTCAAAGTCATTCAAACTTGGGTTTTGATGAGTCTACAAGTTGTGCAGATAGTCCAGCCATATCTTGTGTGCAACTAGATGTTGAAATTCAGCCTAAGTCACCTGGAATTGACATGAATTCTGAGCCAGCCGTGGCTGCTGCTTCTGATATTGATTCATCAAAAGAACAACCTGGGGTAACAGCTCCTGTGGTTACTGGTGTTAATGATGTATTCTGGGAACAATTCTTGACCGAGAATCCTGGTTCAACTGAAATGCAGGAAGCGCAATCTGAAAGAAAGGATTCTGATGGCAGAAATGATGGTAAAACTAGTGAACTTAGCAGATTTTGGTGGAACATTAGGAATGTAAATAACCTTCCAGAACAGATGGGGCATTCTTAGTCAAGCAAAGAAATCTTAGTTGCAATTGATTATTCATTCTAGCTTGTGATGCCCCACAATTACATGTAATAAATGTAGGTATGCATGGTTGGCTCTGCTATATATAAGAATGCCATATTTTTGTTAAATGTTTAGAATTGAGTCAATTTTTATACTGTTCATTTAGTTCTCATTTAGTTCTAATGTGCCTAAACTTTTACATCTGTGTTGTTTGTTTTTCTACACTCTTTACGTCACTTTACCAGATAATAGAAACCAATTGCATATACCCTCCGTTATTGTCTCCTGCAGGGAGGTGCCTGATATCAAAAGTGGAAATTGGTTTATCCAATTGTGATCTAGAATTACAGATTTCCCCATAGAGGAAAAGGGCCTAACATTGAAAGTTGAAAGTTGTATAATGGGATTACTGTAAATCATGTAATGGATGGAATTAGCTGCATAAAAGATATGTGAGAAAATAATATATATTCTCTATATCATACTGCTTGTGAAGATGGAAATGTAGCAAGTACCTTTTGTTTGGGATTAAGGTTGAGAAGTGTTAGTTCTTGTCCCTTGTTTTCATTATGAACACCAATATTTTTTTCATATTATGTAAGGGTACGTTAGTTAATTATATGGAAAGAACTGTTGATTAATGAATTTATGCATTTAAATGAAACCAGGGTCTGCTGGTTAATGAATTTATACAAGAGATTGCTAGAAACTAGGATTTTTCGTATTAGGAAATGCAAGATATAAGATTTATTATTTAGTGTACGATTTTAGGTGTATTTTCTTCGTTCAACAATTTTCACAGGGTTTTACATCTTTATGTTTACCTCAAATTATTGTGGCACACAAAAGCTACATAGAGTGCGATGCTGACCAGTGACGTCATTCGAGTACGACGTATAAGGAAAGAAAGTCGAGATAAAATGGCGACCAGCTACTCTCATGTGAAATTAACTTCTGGTTGATAATACATTCTTTTTACTTGTGTTTCTAACTTGGGTTGGAAGACTTAGCAAATGCTGATTGCGGACTTGTATCTTAACCTTAGATGAGATTGATTGGCAAGGGAAACATTTGCATGCATTGAGACTCAAATTTCAATGAACAAAAGTAATGCTTTGGTTAGTTTAAAGCAAGTTAAATCTGAATTTGCATGTATAATGAGGAGCATGGAAGATCAATGCTTCATGCACGTTAAAATAGACACAAATACACACTACAGCGACTATGGATACTATATTTTACATATGAAGGACGGGGAAATTGTAACTGCTAGGACATATATGTAAGGTTCTTGTGATCTATTTCTGGTTATGTAAACTGTTTTTTATCAACTTTCTTTTTCTTTATAAATTTTTTATACATAATAATACTCCATTTAATTATTTACTGAATCAGGAGATGATGTTATGCCGTTTTGCTATTCTGTGCACAAATTTTCCATTTTAATATTTTTTTGGTCTGCATTTTCTTTTATTATTGCTACTTGTTGATTCGCACGTGGTTCTGATTATTCAGTTTATGTTTCTGAACTTCGTTTTGATTTTACTATTGCTTGTATAGATTAGCTTATTTTAGGGTAAAAAAGTTTTTTGTAGGTAGTAGCTTCTTAAAAGAGCTTTTGAGAGGGAAAAAAAAACTCCCAGAAAACATCAGAATCAAACATCTAGTCATTTTGGTCATAGAACTTTATTTTATACAATGTGATGGCATGATGTGCACCTAATTTCTTAGTGGACTACTGCTCATTTTAGAGTAGGGTAGAAATAATAAAAGAAATTTAGATTTGAAGTACGAACTTGTCAATTTAAGTTGCTCATTAACTTGAAAAGGTGCAGTTTATACTTTATATTGACTTATACTTGAGGCATTTCAGGCATGTATATATATCTGAAATGCCAATGGTTGTGGTAAGTGAATCTTGGTTAATTTCATCAAAGCATTGGATGGACGTGATTTTGAGTTTTGATTATGAGCTTCAATGATTGTTAGTATCCTGTATATAGGGGTGACAGTAGAAGGGAATCAGAGGGGGTACACAATATCAGTTTTTTGTTCGATTACTTGTAAACTATTGTCAGCATCTACTGTTCTACCTTCACTATTCTGATGTTGCTGCTATTTACCTTAGTGTTAAATGGAATCTGAAATAGTTTTCTGATTAATATCTCATAGGTCAACGATTCAAACAACTCAGAATATAGATAAGAAAAAAGGTCGGGAAAAATGAATTGAACTGGTTAAAAATTGGCTAAAATCAGTAGTAAATAATTGATTTAAATTGGTTTTTATTTTATCCTGTTATTTATTTGGAAATCCTGAGACAATAATTACTCACAAAAAGTTAAATTGTTATTTATTATGTAATATATATGTAACTATTATTATTAACTCGATGATTCATCTAAGGATATGAATGAGATTTTAAAAAATATTGCTTCTTGCAGAGTTGAAGAATTTTCTAAATAATTAAGTTTTGTGACTATCTATACTTAATTAATTTAATAATGTTTTGCTACGTTTGTATTCGAGTAGTGAATATTTTCAAAATACGTAGAACTTTTCACCACAAAAAGTCTGAAGCAACCAAGGCTGAGGATAAAACTATGATGAGTTTTGTTTTTTTCACTTTCTTTCTTTTCAAACTTTACGAAATTTATTAAATATAAATAAATATTATATCAAATCAGTGAAATAATCATTAAAATATAAGGTTTTGCTTGCAACTTGTATAAAATAAAAATCATAGAGGTAGCGCGCAAGTTGTTATCGATCTGAGTTTCCGAACCCACTGAAAGTGAAAACTGAATGGATTTTCTCTTTTGTTGGTTGCTCTAAGTAGTGGACGTGACCCTGTCAAAGGCAAAACTAAACCTTAGACTTTGACCAAAGTGGAAATTCGCATCATCGCATATTCGCATGGTAAGATGATAGTGGTGACTGATGAGTCTCTTGACTACGATTCTTCATTCGTTACAAACGCATTCTACAATTAAAATAACTCCACATGGATAATTTAGTATTACTGCTACAACTCAAGCACCCTTTGCGTTGTTGCATCACACAATGCTTATTTATTGTGATTTGTTTGTTAGAATAGAATTTTGATAATATCTTGGAAAGTTTTTGGTTTAGCCTGAATTGTTATTTATCATAGACTCAACATTTTAAACATTTTTTGTTTGTCTTTTTTATTGTTAACTTCCACAAAACAAATACCAAAAGCTATAGTCGTGCACAATTTCACAAAATTACGTGACATGGGTCGGAAAGAATTTGAAAAAAAAAAGTAAGGAAAGAGACACACAATACTACTAACATGTTTGAATTTGTGTTCAAAACGTGTCGTACATTTATTTTAATGCTAATTGTAGCTTTTGTATTGGTTCTATGTTTATAATATTTTTAATGTGTTTCCGAACATACACAGGATGTCACAAGGTGTTAAAATAAAATTTTAAAAAAATCAGAATAGATGTAATATGAACATCACAGTAAAAAAAGGTTTTAAGAAAAAAAAATTAAAAGAAAAAAGTTTGAACATTTTTTAAAAAAATTATTTAACGATACCTATAGTAAGTGAACGAGTCATGAAAGGAAACATTAGAGGATGCACACAAAAAAATCGACCCTGGATACTAAAATGATTGAGATTGGTTCATATCAAAATTTGATTGGTTCATTTGAAAAACAATCACCACGATTACCTAATTTATGTTTTTTAAAAAAAAAATGCTCTTCTAAGATGAATTTATCTCAAAATTGAGTTAGGAAAAATGAATCTTTAGTTAAATTTTAGTGAGTTATCATCTTATTGTGCTTAAAATTAAATTAATGACAAATTTACTTACATATTTTAGAGATAAATTCATTTTTATGGTGTCCATTAATTCATATCGGATAAGTTGGGCCACTGTGTGATTTGTGAATGAAATTAGCTCAATAAAAGCTTCACGTGACTCTGAAAAAGACTTGTTTCACGACAAAAAAAAGAAAAGAAAAGAAAAGAAAGAGACTCGTTTAGTGGGCTGTCTCTGGTTATTATTAGTGTGTTGAATATGCAGCTAAACGTTTGATTATATTCCCATGTTATAGGATAGCTGGTAAGGCTGTGGAGTACAAGGGGTTCCTGAAAACAAAGTTATTAACAGAAAGCTTTGTCGATTTATAGAAATTGGTTGGATCCTATAAATTATATGATTTGTTGATCTAGCTAGCATAGACTTGTGGTATGATTCGAGCAGATAGCATAGACACAATAATATCAGCGAGTTAGTTCTGTTTATTTCATAAAAATCCTACTTGTGGTATGATTCGAGCAGATAGCATTGTTTCATTGTTTCAAGTCCATGGAACATGGAAGGCAACGAAACTTCATTGCTTCTGCTTTTTAACAGTTATCTCTCAAGTACTTATCAATCTAGTTGATGGGTCTTGCATCTGCTAGAGAATTGGATGCAGAATCTAGTTGTACTTACCAAAATAAGTATTGGGGCACCCATCAATCTCCCGGTTTCTTCAAATTGTAATTTTCCTTTTTCTTTTTTACTTACACAATGTAGTTTATGATAATGGCCATATATAACATTTTTTTTTGTTTAGGTTGTATAATTTATTTGTCCAATAGTATTAAATATATCAGATGACACTCACAAGTTACAATACAAGTAGAGCTCAAACTTCATGAACTGTTAAAAGGAAATGTTTTTCGATATATCAACATCCAGCCTTCACTAATGTCTGCGTGCTTCCAGAGGGACACTACTTTATTCAAGTAGATACATTTATGCAATTTGGATAAGGGTAGATACAGGGATCGGAGGAACTGTTCCTTTGGTTGCTGTGAGTTCAGATTTTCAGGCCCCATAACCATTAAAAATGTACTTAATGTGTAAAATTAATACAATTTAATTAAAATATATCAACAGTATAACTATTTTTTACATTATTATTGAATCATAAATGAATATAAGAAAGAATTGTTGATTTTTGGGATAATTAATATAAAAATCATATTTATTGTGTATTTTGCTTATAGTGTATCAAAAGTTAAAATCATTAATATTTATACTCTTTCACAATTTGACTGTCTCTCTCATTGCTCTTATAAAAAACAAAAAATAATAATAATAATATCATTTCATCTCTTTTCCATCCATTCCATCCCATCTTTCCAAAACAGACAAACATATACATGCTAGTGTGCTCATATTAACTATTGGCTAGTATTGTCATTTAGATTCCTTTTTTTCCTTCCTACGTTTCTCTTCAGACCTTTTTCAGTAACCAACTTTGAAAACAATCGTGCAGATTGAATATATTTCTATAAGCATCCAAACATCTACCAGACAAATGCATGGAGAGAATATTGAGTTTCAAGTAAAACTAAAGCATGACAAGAACAATATATACTTGTAAAATGACTATGTATATACATTGTTTACAAGCCTATCAACTAGACACAGATTGTTATTCATAGGAACAACATTGAATGTCTGATTTAATATCCAAACTACCATGGCTCATGTCAAACCACACCTGCCTGAATACTTTGATGATGAGATCATGATACTCATCAGCATTCAAAGTCAGATAACATGCCAACAGTTCCTCCATTTCTTCTGGCCTGCTAATCTGATTTTCTGTGATCATCTCAATCATTGAATCTCTGAAATCTTGCTTTGGATCTAATGAACATTTAACAACAGCAAAGTTATCTAATCCTGGTTTATCCTCCACAATTTCATCCCTTCCTTTCTTCATCTTTAATTTTGCTTTCCTCATATCTTCTAGAGCCTTTATTTTGCATATTTCAACTTTGGAAACCATCCTTGGAGAATATATCCTCACCTTGGAGCTTTGCTTTGGTTTCCTCCTCTGAAGTTCTCCGCTGACATGAAGTGTTTGCCTTTGTCTGTTAGTCTTTACCTTCAACTCCTCAATTTGTTTCATGTTGTGCCTCTTAGAACCAATTTTCTTCTGAGATAACCTGTCACTTTTCTCAATTTTTTCTATAATATTATTTCTAAGGATAGAATACCTCAAAGCTGCAGAAGAGGCAAAAGAATGTGTTCTTGGTGTGCAAATAGTGCTTGGTGATTCAAATTGCAGCACATCTTTTTCTACTGCTTTATTGGATCCAAATTCAACTTCCTCTACTTCTCTTTCCAATGACAAGAGATGCTCTTCAAAAACTTTTTGTGCTTTCCTCTCAAATCTCCTCCTTAAGTTTTCATATTCCTTTTCCCGACTGTACTCATCCATATCCACTGAAACCTTCCTATCATTCATCAACTTCCTTTCTTCTCCTAGAATAATATCATTCTCCCTCAACTTGAGGGTCCCTTCTCTTCTTCCATGTTTCTTATCATTCCTTCTACCACCATAGGATGGAATCACACTCTTTTCAATATCTCTATTTTTCTTATCCTCATAACTCTCTTCATTAAATGATTGTCTACAGAAAGCACCAGCATCATCCCCTACACAAAACCTTTCTCCATAATCACAAGAATACTGTGGTGAACCTACAGATGAATTCTGCTTTGCCTTCTGTTTGATAAGTTTTCCTCTGTTTGGCTCAGAATTGATCCTCATGCGCTTGAACTTGGACAACCAAGAAAAAGGAGATGCATGAGAAATGAAAGAAGAGCCAGAAGAAGAAGAAGCTGAAGAAGGGTTTTTTCTTCTACCCCACTTTATCATTTGCTTTTGTGAAGGTGATTCTCTTCTTTTTGATTTGGTTAAGGTTTAGCAGTTTGCAGAAGATAGAAGAATGAGAACTTAAGTTGAAGATAATAATGTTAGTATTGTCATAGGTATAACTTGGGAAACATATAGTGGTTAGTGGGACGGTTAGGATGTTAAATAGGAACGTGGGTTTCTTACTGTTTCTTCTGCAATTTTTTCAAAAGTCACAACCGCTCAAATCCTGTGACCACTTACCCACTTTTTGTGCCTTTTAGTTTGTACTCGTAAAAAGTTGTGTGCATTGAGGGGACCCCTTTTTCTACGTTCTCGGTGGTTTCATAATGGCAAATTATTACTATTAATTAACAGAAATTAATCCCTGTGTAAGGGGGGAAAAACATCTTATCAACCTCGTATGATTGAGGAAGTTATTTGTAGGACATTGTCTCTTGGTCTTTAACTTTAGTACAAAGATCATAACTAGATCTGCAAGCAGTAGAGTTATTTATAGTAACAGCTAGTTAGTGTTTTTTCTTTTTTTTTGCTGAAAAAAGAGACTAAAGGCCCAAAAAATAAAACAACACTTAGACTAAGGATCTAGATCAAAACAGCAGCTAGTTAGTGTTGACCTTGACATGAAGGTTGTCCTTAACAAGGGGAATGGAAGATTAGGAAGCCTCTAATAATATTAGTCCGTTTAGTTTAGATATTAACTTTTCGGCTGGGGTTATTGATATTTTAATATTTTTGTTGTATTCTTTTTTATCTTTGTTTTTACGATTTAATTTATTTATTTTAAATTTATTTAAACCTATTTTTTTTTCATATATCACTTGTAATGCATAAAACATGGTTAAGATAAATAAAATTATATGAAGACATTTTGTTTTAATTTAGATAAAATAAAATTTTTATAATATATTACTAAAATATAATCTAAAATAAATTGGTTGATTTTTTTCCGCTAACATGTCTAGTAAACAAACAAATATTCATGAATATATTACTAAAACACAATTACTAACTCTCTTGACAAGAATGATACAAAAAAATTTGGTTTTATTTCAGGTAATAATTTTGAGTTCAAATCTTGTGAATAGACAAAATAGGAGTTACGAAAGTTTTGTCCATTAAAAAAATCCACTCAGTTGCCGATTGGATGCAAAAGGTTTCAAACAAACAAAAATTACAAAAACATGAACGGCATCATATGTAATTTTGATAACATAAAAATACAACGATAAAAAGGAGAGGGGAAGTCAAGATAATTCATTTTCTCTCTACATTTGGTTCACATAATGCTAACATTATTTCATTATAACGATAATAAATATTGAAAAATAAAATGAATAAATAATCAAGTATAATTGGGGAAAAAGTTTGGCCTGATGAATACTTAAATTAATAAAAGATATTTTCAGTAATTAAAGTTGTAAACAATAAAGAAGTGTGAATGAGTGAAAATTATACGCGAACTTCACTTTCAAATCCTATAAAAATATGTTGTGTGTGAATGAATAGAGAGCTTTTGAACAAATATTAAGGTTGAACTGAAACATCTTATGAACAAATATTGAAAGTATACAAATTTTTAATGCTCAAAATCATTTATTTTTATAATAATTACCTTAAAGTTATATTTATGGTCATTTTCAATTAATTAATAATATATTTTTTTCATTAACAAAATATCAAACTTAAATTATTAAAATAACCTCACCTTTTACAAAAATTATTTACTTTTATTAAATTTCACCAAATTTCTATATTATGAATCATTTAAATATCTTTTGCACACAAAATATGTTTTAGATCTCGAGTCATTTGGACATAAAATGAAGATTTCGAGGAAATAAAGAACATAATATAGCAATCAAAAGATTTGAGATTAAATCTGAGCCAAAAAGTTATTTGGACTAAAATCGTACGATAACCAAAAACACAGGCTCAAAAGTCAAGTTAAACCTTTTAATTAAGACCGAAAGTGAAACTTTTATTGATTCACATATATTCTTGTGTAACATGACAGACAGACATACATTTGAAACTAAGTGAAGAAGAGTGTGGCAGTATAAAGGAACAAAATTGCAAATCTTTCTTGTTGTTGAATGTTGAATTTCTAAATCATCGTTTTAATTAAGCACATGCTTGCAACCCCCTCCACTAATTTTATATTCAAGCAGGGAAACCCTTTAAATTTTCATCCCAGTTAAATAATTACATCATTAATTAATTATATGGAAGAGAGGTATCATTCTACTTCCCTCTGGTCGACAGATCAAAGTTATGACCTTGCTGACTTCACATTTAATGGTGGGATAATGACTATGAGTTGGAATTGTTAAAATTCAATCAATTTTGAAATAGATGGGTCATGGGTCATCACTTATCATATTTGTGTCTTCTCTTTTTAATTTCCTTTGCTTGATCATCGTATGATTTACTAACTTCTAGACTTCCAATCGATACTTCAGAGAGAAGCTCCAAAGTACAGGTTTTTTTTTCTAACGGAGCCTGCTTAAAGGAACTTCCATTTTCAGCCAAATACAGAACATTTAAGAGTGTGCTTGATCCAAAAAGTGCTTTTAGTACTTTGAAACAACTCAACGAAGTGTTCATGTCATTTTATTACATTAAGTATGTAGTACATATGAAGTAAGCTGTTGTTCTTTTGCCATTTGTACTTCATTTTCAACTGCTCATCATCGCATTCACTTTGATCTTGAAAATGGTCAACTAAATATCATCAGAAAAGTCCTGTTACCTTTCATGCAACTGCTAATTCTACATGTAGTACTATTAACTAGTCACTACATTGGGTAGTTTTCTGCGACATTTAAGAAATTTTGGAATACCAACCCAAGTATTTGTATAAAACTTTTCTTTACTTTATGTGACACATAAATATTCCACTGTTTAAAATTTGTCAGTTTTTCTATCCCGCAATGTTATTACATAGTCGTGTTTCAGGAAAAATAACTACTATGATCTCTATACTTGTTGGCAAGTGGCCCCCTTGTGAAGTTGAACCCAGCAGTAAAACAGTCAAGTTCACAACAAATTAACGAACAAAGAAATCTTGTATCATATTATGTATCAAGTAATGGTTTCTTAAAATGAAGAAGGCAAACACAGAGATAATGATAGCGGATATAGAGATATGAAATAACAGAAATGCTGGAAATAATGAAATAACAGAAAACTCCAGAGCAGCCGGAGGAAGAAGGAAAACGAGTCACACTTTTCATATCCCTCTCTCTTCCATATTTTTTTTCTTTTATGTATACCTTATTTTCCAAATGTAATTCTTGAGCATAGAATTATTTACTATTTTCTGACTAATCTATTTTCAAATTTGAGTAGAAAAGAGTGGTCCATCCAGGTTAAGAGTGAGCAATAGGTTGACTCATCAGCCCATTCAAAATTTAATTTACAAAAATTAAAAATATTAAAATTAAAAAATATAAAAATTATCTATAATTATAAATTAAAGCAATAAAATATAATTTAACTATAATTTTATAATCCTAAAACACATTTTAAAAACTTAAATTATAAACTATAATCCATTGATCCACAAACCAAAAAATAAAGTAAAAAATCACAACAATTTCAACCTCATAATCAAAATAAATAGTTTATAAATCAAAGTTAAATCATAAAACATAATTTACATAGCAGAATAAAGTTTCAAATTGTAATAACTTTAAAGTTTTAATCATTTTCCTCTAAGTTAAGAACATTTGAATTTGATGCTGCATTAAAAAAAATAGTTATACGCTTTGATTGTTATTCTCACCACCAACATCATCATCATTTATATCCATAGTTGTGTATCAAAATTTAAAAAAAATATTTACTAACATTAAATTTAAGATGGAAAAGTTAATATTTCAAGTTAAAATAATAGTGACATGCAAACAAAATAAATTACAATCACTACCAAATTCATGCAACCAATTAAGAGTATACATCATAACTTCCACATATTTTGATAAGAGAATATTCTTGTACTTATTTAAAACATGTGAGTCATTGTTAAATACAGATTCAAATGCAACAATATTAATGAGAATACTCATTATGTCACGTGCCAATATTAATAGTTAAAAAAAATTGACTTCTATTATTCTTCCACCATTGAATAATATCTAAATCATCATGATAATTAATTCAATAGTTGACTCCTCAAAATAAAGATCAAGTTAAGATTTTCTAACCCTAAAAGCTTGTTCTCATTTCTACAATTTGAAGACTTAGACATAGTGAACATGTCAAAAAGTAAGGAGAGAAGGTGAGATAAAGATTTTAAAAAATATAATAAAAAGTGATATAATTATTAAACAATAAAATTTTAAACTAACACAGAAGACAAGATATGTGTTAGCATTTGATTCCTTAGACACTCTAGAATTAGAAGCAGAGGAATGACTATTACTATGCACACTAGAAGTTGTGCTAGAATAATGTTCAAATAACTTGTATAATTTTTTTTTAACTTGTTGTACCTTTGTTTCACAAGTAGAAGCATCAACTTTTGAATAACAATAATACAATAATTCAAGCTTTATCCTCGAATCAAGAATTACTCCTAATGCAAGCATAATACTATATTTGAATATTTTAAAAAACTTTGCAATCATTTTTTCATCAGTGCTCTTTATAACTTCATCTCCATCACTTGAACTTTTAACAAGTATACACTGAATCTTCCAAATTTAAATAAAATACAAGTTAGAAGTAGGATAAGATGTAACAGAAGTAGAAACATAAAAAAGCAACAAGAATCCACAAATTTTTTTTTATTCTTTGCCACTTCTTCTAAAGGACAAAATCTATAATTTTTATCACTCAAATGAAAATTTCAAAATACAAATCAATACTAAAAAGCACTCTGAAGTATCAAATAAGTTGGGTTCTATCTTGTAGAAACATCTAAAGACAATGCTTTTAAACTATCTACACTACCAACTTGATCAATGCAATTCTTAAATTTTCTCATTCTACTCTATGAA